ATTAGAAATTTTAGGTATCCAATTTGGTAGAGATGAGATAGGTAAATCAAACGCGTATCATAGTTGTCAATAGATAGGCTCGTCTCGTTCAACGCGCTTAAAGACAGATGCTTTCTTTTTATCTTAAATCTTGAATTTTATTCAGATTAAAAAGTTCTCGCAAATGATTCGGCACTAAAACTTTACCATTTTTATACCGCAGTTTCAATGAAATTCCGGAATATCCGACAAACTTTTAGTAGGTACAGAAGATTTACGCAAAAAATTTGCCAAAGGTGGAACTAATTCCCACAAAGACTGGGTTTGATTTTTTGAGTTCATTATTCATATCCTTCAAACATATAGGTACTAAAAGTCTAGAAAAATGTGTGTATGCAAAATGCGTTTTTTGGCCGCCATTTTGAATTTTTTCATAAAATTCCTAAAAAATTGTATGTGGTATCAAATAATGGGAAATTTTATGCTGAACAAGATTATGATAATAATCTAAATAGATAGAAATGAATTTATTCTGGTGCAGGGCTCATTTCACACGTTATGGGCTGTACTTTTTTCCAACTCCATTCTTTGTGTTAGCAATATTGGAGTTCATGGTTTTCCAACAAAGACATTGTAAATGTACACAAAGAAGGTGCTGAACAGCAGCTTCTTCAGTTGGTGGCAATTTTGCACAGTACAACGATACCAATGGTTTGGTGCCAATGTTTGTAAGTTACTTTCTGTTTGCGTCGATTATCCGAAGGCTTAGTTCAGGAATTAAACAAAGTACTTGTTCACAAACATTTAATAAATTCGTATGTACCGGGTGTCCAAATAGGAAAGGTCGCCGGCTATATCTCAGGAACTATTAGTCCTAGAGCTTCCAAGTAAATTTTTTTCAAATAAAATAGGCCATGAAAAATTGCTGGAAATAGTTTTCAAGTTTGTAAATTGACCGCTAGGGGACGCAACGAACACTCGAAAACATAATACTGTGATTATCTTCAAAAAACGCCCACTTAAGGTATCCTAAAAATATGATTATTGAAATCTTGATGAGATGACGAAAAAAATTTGTTAAGGATTTTTTGCTCTAACTCTTCAAATAAGAGGTGGGGGAAGGTTCAAACTTGTCAATGATTATTTCAAACTCTTCCCGCACTCAGTGCGGGAAGAAATCTCTTCCCGCACTGGTGCGGGAAGAAAATCTTCCCGCACAGCAAATCGTACGGAAAGAGCCATTTCCCGCACGCTCGTAGAAAAAGTAAATTTAGCAGTGACTATAAACCTCCAGTCGAACTCTGAACCCTGATGCGTTCGATTCCAATCAGTGTACGTCAATTAGGTTCTGACATATATTGGTTCTGTATTATTTTGTAGGTCTGATGATGCTCATATAAGTGAAACACATGTCACTATCAAGTGAATAAAATAATAAACAATCTGTAGACTTAATCATTTTTTTCTTTCTTTTATTGTTTAAAAATCGGGTTCCTTTGAGAAATATGGACAGATTTTTTGATTTTTTAATAGTTATTAATGATACAAGTTCGATATGAACGCCATAATGAAACGCGTGTAACGTTAAACCACGAGGCGTCAGCCGAGTGGTTTAGTTACACAAGTTTCATTAATAAAGTTCATATCGAACGTGTATCATTCAAAATTTAATCTACAATGGTCCAAATAGATTTGATTTGCCTTGAAATAGCAAAAACTTTTCAAATTAAAATTTGAAATTTAGCAGGTGCCCGTACTAGTCGAGAACCTGCTTGTTGGTTTTTAGAATTTTGACTTTGGCAGCTTCAATATTGAAGTCCATTTTTGTGCCATAAATTCAATTTTATAGTGGAAAATAATATTATTATTGGTGAATCTGAGTTCGAAAGTGTCTCTTCGAATATAGAGACAGCATTATTGAAAAGGTTCTTCTGGCAACTAACTTTCTTTTTGTATATTTTTCATTTCAAAATTTGGGTGTTATTATGAATTCTTAAACGCACTAGTGCTATTATGAAGGACCTAATGACATTCAAATGACAATGCTAAATGTGTCATAATGACACCGACGTAGATTAATATATAAATGACTCTATCAATTCAAATTATTCTATAAAAAATAACATTAATTTCTCCGTAATTGAATGTATTTTTTCTGAATTTGAATTCACTTTTCCTGAATTTGAAATTACTTTTTCCGAAAAAGGCTTTACATTTTCCTAAATAAAAGTTACTTTTTCCGAAATTGAGGTTGAAATGGTGTAGTGTTAACATGATAATAAAGAGTTTCTCAATTTAAATCAAAAATACTTAGAAATAATTTCCTTAACAAGTTAAACATTAACATAATGTTATTCTCAAACTAACTATACTAAGAAGGTAGGTAAATAACATTTTATTTATTTATGTCTCTTTTTTTTAAATTTCATTAGAGATCCAATTTAGCAGGAATAGCAGGATGTTTAATAAGACGACCACTACACGTCACGAAATCTGAATGTCTTCCTGTTAATTTTTTCACTGTGGTTTGGTTAGCTTTAGGGTTGCCAGATGTCCCGATTTTAACGGGACAGTCCCGATATTGGAGATTTTGTCCCGTGTCCCGATAGACTATACATCGGGACGCTAAATGTCCCGATTTCACGGAATTTTTTATGAAAAGTTGGGAAAAATTAAAAATACCTACTTATACAGGGTGTTTCACGACGCTTTTCCCAGGTAATAACTTCGGAACGCGTCATCCAATATAATTGAAATTTTGAGGATCTGGGTAACTTTTTGTGCCGCTTCTACTATTGTCATCCAATTTCACCACTTTCACTTCAATTTCGGTCAAGTGATGTCAACTTTTGCATCTTAAATATAACTCATGGTATATTATGGCATTTTTCGTTAGAAAATTAAATAACAAAATCGGCAATGCCATACCTATTTGTTAAGGCTTTGTTAAGTGGAACATACGATGATGCGTTCCGAAGTTATCATTTGGGAAAAACCTCGTAGGACACCCTGTATAAGACACTTATTTTTGAATTTTAGGTAGGTACTTGTTAATTATCTATATTATTATTCATAATTATTTCAAGATTCTTTTGGTTTCGAAGATAAGAATAAACTAATGCATTTTAGGTACTTAAGGGATTGAAATTACCCTTTAATCTCTGTTTTAAGGGGGTAAAGTGGGTCTTTCAATCCCTGGGATTAAATTTCATTTTATTTCCCAAGGGATTTTTACTTTATTTCCCGGGGATTAAATGAAACAAGCGTTATTTTTTATTTTTAAATTTTATTAAAGGTTTTATTATTAATTTACATTTTATTTCCTTTACATTAAAGTATTCCTTCAAAAAAAAAGTGTCCCGATTTTTTACCAGCTTTTTGATTGGTATACCCGATTTTTAGATATCCCAATCTGGCAACCCTAGTTAGCGTCTCCAAGTAACAGAGGTTTGTTATAATTAGAGTGCGCGCGTTTTTTGTCATTGGATTCCTAGCAAACAGTTCTATTTTTAATATATTGGGACTGTTCAGAGTTTTCGAAAGTTTCTTTTGGGAACACGTTCGTTCAAATCAGAGGGCACCTTTTGATGGTCCTGGTGTTTGGGAGCGCTCGAGGGACTGCTATCATCTTGGTTTATTTTTGGTTGGTCACCATTTTAAGTATCCAATAACTGTCTATTATTATACAGCCTGGATTTTGATCTCTCAGTGGTCCTAAAAATTTACGATTTCTCCTGTACAAAGCATTATCTATATTAACAAGATAATCATTTGGTCGAGACTCTTTTACAACTAGGTACGACGAGCGAAATTTGATCGTGGCGCCATCTAAGACTAGTATTCAACACTAAATAGCACTTTTGCTGTATTTAGTGATGAGCATCTAATAGGCCGACCAAAAATCAGATAGTTGGGAAAACCCAGAATAGGGAAAACAAGTTTTCTGCTATTATCCACTATTTTGCCTACAGGCACTAAACTTGGATTGGTTTTCTTTGCTATTGCTTTCCTAGCCATACTGACGAGACCTGATAGGTCGATACGCGTCTGTGGATGGAATAGCAGAGAAAATTAATCAAAGAATTTTCTCAATTTTTTTTTTAAATAAAATATAGAACACTAAAACATATGTCAATAGAAATCCACAAAAGAGCATATATTTTATACATACATGAAAATGACTTTAACTTAACACTTGCGAAAATTTACAGCGGTGGCGTATGTACGGGGACAGGACCCCCCGTGCCTTGCTCCCCCCTGTCCCGCTCAGGGTAAACGTGTCCAGTTGCAATGTTTACCCTGGAGTTATGCTTAATCTGAGGGTGACTTATGATAGATCGCTCAACTCACTCAAACTCCAAACTTGCTCGCCAAACAAACAAAAAAAAGCTTCATAACGAGATTCTAAATCTAAAAAACCGACGCGATTGGTTACAAGATTCTCAGGGAGGGTATAATATTACTTAGTTTCTAAAGTCAAGATAAACTTTTCGAAAATAGTTAACTTCGCCTTTACGGCGCCTCGCTCACAAACAAGGATGTCCATGTATTCTAAGGCCGAGCCCGAAACCCATTATCAACACGCCACGCCATGCTACGCCACCCCACGCTTTGTGATATAGGTTCACGTGGGACAGTTTGTGTGCTTAAAAATGTGTAACACGCCACGTGATGACACGCTCATTTTATTTAGAAAAATTGTCAGTAGCTTTGAGTACGTTATGGAGTACCTAATATGCTTCTATATTCTTCATCGTCTAGTGACTGATAAAGATAAACAGGAATCGAGAAAAATATGGTGCTTAATTAATTAATTAATGAGAGAGCTGGAGGCAGATCGTAGTCCATACCATATTATGTACTTCCGTATGGACAAAAAACAATTTGATTATTTACACAATCTTTGTATAAAAAGAAAGATTAAAAATCGAAACACAACATTTAGGAAATGTATTTTTACGAGACAAAGTCTGGCAGTGTGTTTAAGAGTAAAACTATTTCTATATTTCAACCATTTATTCCGAAAGCAAACATAGGTTCTTTTCATAAAACAAGTTTAAACCCAAAAAATATCTATATCCGTGACAAAAACATGTTCAACGCCGTGCGGTTGGATCATTTGGAGTACGTAGTATCAGAATCAGTTTCATTAGGTGTTTGTAATTTCCAGTAGGAGTTTTGTGGTTGAGTTGCTGATGGTGTCAAAATATGATATACACCAGAGAGGGAGATCCTGTATGTGTCTGACTGGGTAAAGCGGAGCTCTAATTATCATTCAGTGATTTAAGTTGAGACATTTCTGCTTCGGACACAAGTCTGCATAGTTCCATCCGAATATGAACTTGTTCCAATGGAGGCAGTTTTTGGACTGTTTTTGACATGCTCAAATAAAACATGTCTGTTTCATTTAAATTGTTTAGCAATGGACTATTTTCAGGTCTTTGTGAGACTTTTTGAATCCTCAGTTCCAATTTTTTTTTCATTATTTGTACAATTTCATCGGCAGGATTCGGACGTTTTTTTCGCTGTGGCGTCTGTTGATTTCGAGGCAGCGATTGTGATGTATTCTCTGCATTTGTGGAATGAGAAGATACAGACAGAATATCCCCAGTTTCTCTTTCGTTGCCTTCATGTTCTTCAGTGTTTTCTAATTCACTGTCTTCAATTATCTGAAATTCTTCTTCCGGTAATTGTAAATATTGTGATGCATTTTCTGCCTGCGATAAATTGCTGTGTGTCCTGTAATTTTAAAGTTAAATGAGATGTGATAAAGATATGCAGATAAGAGACTTACTGCCTACTATCCATATACGGTTGAAGAAATGCCATTTGCATTTCATACTTCCACGGAATATATTTTTTAGCAGCTTGTCCGCTTTTATGGGCATTCCGTCGCTTTAAGGCATTAGAAAAGCAATTTCTAAGTTTGCCCCATGTGCCTTTAGCTTGTGATGCTGAAATAAACAACATTTTATTTACCAGAATGTAAGTAGGTAACATTAAAACATGTGATCTAACTTCACAGGTCATTCCACTAGTTTGTGGTAGCTTAAAATCTGTGGTCGATTATTTCAAGGTCAAATGTGGCAATTTTAATTTTTATCATGTCGATGCTAGATGTAATAAAAAATAAGCTTTAAAACCTATGTTTGTATCTAATTACTCATATTCACCAATTTGACCGTCGATTTTTTTTCTACGAATTTTAAATAAAGCTCTCTCGCTATGGAGATCATCATCCATCCCTTATCTCTAATCTCTAATATATCCATACAAATACAGTAATAACACGTCGAGTAACACGTATTGTTTCAGGTACTTAGCAACAGGAAACTCATTTCGATCTCTCGGATTCACCTTCAGAATTGGATCCAACACTGTTAGGAATATAGTGAAATCAGTATGCAAAGCTATTTGGGAAGTTTTAAGTCCGATCGTGATGCCAGAACCAACAGAACAAATGTGGAAAGAAGTGGCTCAGACAGATAAATATGTGGAACTTCCCCAATTGCATTGGGACCATTGACGGAAAACATAATATAAATATCCGTTGTCCTATTGGAGGTGGTTCCGCATAATATTATAAAGGTGCACATTTTATCGTTCTACTGGCACTTGTCAATGGTGATGCAAAAGATAAATTTATCACTTTGGATGATGGATCGTATAGTGATGGAAGTATATTTTCTAAGTCTACTCTTGGACGATCATTAGAAAGTGGACATTTAAATTTTAAATTTAAATATACCTGCAGACATCCCTTTATTTGAAGATTATTTTGAGATTGAATTCCTATGCCTCATGTAATTGTTTGAGACGAGGCATTTCCGCTAAAACCATATTTACTTCGTCCATACAGTCGAAAAACACTTGGAGGAGATGAATCAAAAAAAATATTCAATTACCGGCTATCTCGAGCAATGGCGCATATAGGAAAATTCTTTTGGAATTCTAGTAGCTAGATTGAGAGTTTTCACTACATATTTTGAAGTGAAGTTCAACCAGATAATGGTGCATGCTTTGTCTACATAATATGTTATGCACTAAAAACCCTGATTTTGAGGCAGACATAATATCATATTTTAATGGCTATAATTCAATTCTCATTGATATGAATCACCTCAGCCAGAGCTGGGCAAAGCCCTCAGTAAAAGGGCTTGAAGCACTAAGCCCTAAGCCCTTTATCAAAGTGCTTTCAATTTCAAGCACAAATTCCTTTTTATTTTCATAAGTGCTTCACAAGCACAAAGCCCTCAAAGTGCTTTGGGCTTGGCAAGCACAAAGCCCTCAAAGTGATTTGAAAAGTGCTTGAAGCACATCAAAAGTACTTGGAGAGCCTTCAAAAGTGCTTTGAAGCCCTTTAAATGTGCTTGAAGTTCTTTAAATGTGCTCGAAGCTCTTTAAATGTGCTTGAAGCTCTTTAAATGTGCCTAAAGCACTTTGAATTTGTAATCAAATTCTCAAAGTGGCATAAGCTACCGCGTACACACTTCAGTTGAATTGGTATAGTAGAGATGAACTTTACATTTCACAGAGTAGCAGTAGTATGTTTTTTTTTTGAGATGTAGTTCTGGGGTACTTGGGGTAGTTAGGGTACTACATGGTAATTCAATTTTAAGGTTTTCAAAATGTTCAATGAGGAAAAGTGAAAAAAATCCAATGATAAAGTTAAATAGGGTACCAATATAAATTAATTATTTATTTGAATAATAAGTTCATTCATTTTTTTTTTCAATTCAATTCTAAGCTCAAACCCAAAACCTCCGTTGCTAAGAGAGAAAAGACATAAGACCGTTCAAGTTCAAATAATAGAAAAAAAAATTAAGCGACAAAACACATCGATCGAAAATTTTTAAGTGGGGGATAGGTTGAATGATTGTCAATTCAAATTCCTTTCAAAGTGCTTCAAGCCCTTTCAAAGTGCTTCAAGCCCTTTTAAAGTGCTTCAAGCTCCCAAAAGTGCTCCAAGCCCTCTTAAAGTGCTTCAAGCTCTTTCAAAGTGCTTCCAAGCTCCCAGAAGTGCTTCAAGCCCTCTAAAAGTAATTGAAGCTCATTGAAAGGGCTTGAATTACTTTTTTCAATTACAAATTATCAAGCACTTTTCTAAAGTAATTGACTTTGTAAGCCCCAATTACAAATCTATAAAAGGGCTTGAAGCACAGGGCTTTCAAGTCCTCAAAGTGCTTCAAGCACTTTCACAAGCACAAAGCACTCAAGCCCTGCCCAGCTCTGCCTCAGACGTAACATTCCACAAAGAAGGACTTTTTATGCAAGAGAACAATTTAGAGAATATTTCACTTCACCTCACGACATCGACAGTGCAAAACTACTTTGGAATTATGAAATGTAACATTTTTATATTAAATTTTGACGACTTACCTGTAATTTTTAATTCTCTTCCTATTTCTTCCCATGCTTCATGGCGCCTATTTTGATCTCTATAATCTGCAGAATGTACATTATAGAGGAATTCGTACTGCCGTACCTTTTCTATCAAAAATTCCTGCTGCATTTTTCTGTACTATTTGTGACGCGATAAAATATTGAATAAATACAGAAACAGATTGCGGCGAGGCTAGCGAGTCGGCCGACGGCCGAAGAACATCTGGAATTTGAAATCGTCACACGTCGGAAAACGTGGCTTGCCATGGCGTGGTATCGCGTGTTGCAAGTGTGCACGCGGCACATGTAAATAAATGGAAGAATGTATGCGCATACATTTTAGTCACATGGCGTGGCGTGTTGCTAATGGGTTTCCGGCGTTTCCGTTCCGCCTACTCAACTTATGCTAATTAAAGCTTAATAAATAGTCCCGAAGTCTAAAAACACAAGCTTTGTTCGGGTTTGAAAAAATCCAAGTTTCTAGAACGGTTCAAAACAATGTAACAGTTTATTTTTGAAATTTGTGATAGCCGACTCCGATGTTATTTTGTTGATTGTTAAACTGATGTGCGATTGTTTTGAACCGTTCTAGAACCGTCCTTTTTTCAAACTCGAATGAAGCAACAATAAAAAAGCGTTTGACAATAAAACAAACAAAAAAAACTCTAACATAAAAAGCAAAATCAAAATATAAACTATTTCAAATTGCGACTGGGACTGGAAACATATAAATAAAAAACCTATATTTTTAGTTGCTGTCGCTCTTCGATTACAATTCCACAGTTTAACGTTTAACGACGACAAGCCATAGCAGCTCCACATGTCCGGCTTGAAGGACCATGAATAAAAACAGTGCGAAGTGACACTTTTTTCCCAGGTATTGATTTTTTAACGTTCCCATGACGCCGTGCGCGAACTAGCTTTTTGGCACACTAGTGCACGAAATAGCTAGTTCGCACACTGGTGTCATGGGTGATACATACTTGTCAGGAAACCAAATAACTAGTTTTTGCTTCTACACTAATTGCATCATTTGCATTTTATGAGCCACTCAGGGCCCTGTTCTCAATTAGCAAGTCACCTCCGGATTGGTTTCAACTCTAAGCTAAGAGTGTCCCGTTGCTATGTTTTGTTTAGGTACCCTGAAGTTATCTAACCCGGGAGTAACTTTGCTATTGAGAAACCGGCCCTCAAACTGAAGGATTGTTCTATATTGTGGAAGTATTTTTTTATTAATTAGAGTAACTTCATCTAAAATTACCGGGAATGGTATTTTTGCAGTCAAAATTTCCGTTTCTTGTTGTGTAAGGATGTAAGGAAAAGATGTCCTAAATCTTCAAATCAAATCAAATCAAATCAATATAAGCTTCATTGTCCAAAATAAAATTGTTTGTCATTGACAAAGCAAAGATCCTATCACTTATCAATTCTAAGCAAATAATTATAATTTTATTCCAAATATGAACCTTAAAAAAGACACAAAGAATTGCAAAATAAATCACTAGTTCAAGCTATAAACCTACGGCGTAAATTAAATAAATAAAAATAAAAAACTTTAAGAAAAAAAACAAAATATGTAAACAAAATTTAACTTTTTGTTCATACAGTATAAAAATTAAATAAAAATAAAAAACAAACCAAACAAAAAAAGGAAACATTCAGCAGAAACAGATGTGAGGTCAGGTGACCATTGGCATGGAGAGCCAGCAACTCACATTCCTATGGAGTATCAGATTATAAAAGTTGGACTGTAAGTTATACGTTATACGTTAGCACAACCAATGTTGCAAATAAAGTCAAGCTGATCACTAAAAAAAAAATTGAAAACACAACACAACACATTGAACTAGGAGAGAAAATTACCAATTTTGAGCATCTGGAAACATTTAAGAAGATTATGTATACAGCTCCTCTGGATGCAAATCTTAAACACTCGTAGAAAAAGTATTGTTCCTAACCCTTACGCACTCAATGCTCATCCGCTTCGCGTCGTTCGTCTAACTGCTTTTTCGTGCCGGAAAGTATCACTTTGCGCACTTGTTAGGAAAATAACTATTTCCTACGACTGCCTCTGAAAATGGAGTTTTTCGCACGCTAGGCAACCTCTGAAATTAGAGTTTTTCGCACAGCGTGCGAAAAAGTTTTTCACACGCATTTTACCGTGCGAAAAAGTTTTTCACACGCTCCTCAGCGTGCGAAAAAGTTTTTCACACGCTTCAAGTTTTCTAACAAATGAAAATTACATATTTGGTTGTTTTTTTTTGCAGTTGTAGGAAAAGCATTGTAAAAAACTCGTTGGAAAACCTTTTTTCACACTTGCTCGTCTTGTGGAACTCGCCTACGGCTCGGTCCAACAAACTGTCTCGCCGTGCAAAAAAAGTCGTTTTCAAAGCTTGTTGTTTAAATAACTATTTCGTCATACTGGCCATACTGCAGATATCTCTCAATCTGAGAAAAAAAACACTCTCTTATAGGGGTATGTCAGTCGGTGGCCGTTATTTTAACAACCGGCGGCTGTTATTTATAATTTTATTTTAACCGGTCGGCGGGTAAATAACGGCCGGCGGCCGTTAAATAGGTACAGCTTTTTGATTTGAATTGAATGTTATAGTAAGATAACAGTACAGTATGACGAAAAATTTAGAACAAAACACGGCTGATAAGCATAACTGCGTGTTGACAATTTGACGTTTTATGCGTGTATCAAACGTCAAATTGTCGAAGCAATGTCAAAAAAATGCGAATTTCGCAGTTATGAGTACTAGGCTATAGGGAGGATTTTCATGCATCCGTTTTTCCGTCGAAATATGTCCGTAAAGTCTTCTATTTTGACATATTTATATACGATTATGTCAGAATAGAATGTTAATTCTATTCTTAGACTTTACGGACATATTTCGACGGAAAAACGGATGCATGAAAATCCTCCCATAGGCAATAACTGCAAATAATGGCGGATTGCGGATTATGATCCTCGGCTATCTCCTCGGATCAGAAACTTCAGTCCGGGCGTTATCTGCCTTATACATAACTTTAATAACTATAAATAATCAGTTAGAGAGAAAGGGCAGTCATCAGTCCGAGATAGTTTAGGAGTCAAAAGTCGAAAAGTAACCGTTTATCAGATAAAATTCCCGAAGATAGTTTTTTTTTTTGATTCTCAACGCCTCGTACATTAAATTTAAACTCTGGCTTAAAATCGAATCTTGTTTGTTAAAAATTTCAAAAAGTAAAGAATTCGTAAAAGCAAGCAAGATTTCATAATTTAGGCTGTTTGCTATTTGGTCGTATCGTAATAAATCACTCTAAAAAAACAGAGCGTTGGAAAGCGCGTATTTCGGACTTGGCTAGGCTACACCAAGGATATTACGTGTTGCACCGTTGCCGGCGTCATCAACAGTGTGGTTAGCGGGTTCCAGCGGTCATAGTTAAGAATATACATTTATTATGAAAAATATTATTCAATTTTGATTAACATAATAGGCAAAGAGATAGATGCAAACAAAATTTAAACAAGGGTTGTTTTAGAATGTTATTAATTATTGTACTAAGTCTAAAACCAAGTATGCATAAGCAAAAGCCAGCGGAACCATAGAGTGTGGTGCAAACTCCCTACGTCAAAGCGAGAAACGACACGCTGCTACGTCATCACTGGTACTTTGGCGTGGTAGGGGGCTTGAGATTTTTATTTATTTTCATAATAATAATATTTAATATTTACATATTTAAAATTCTATTCAGATGGCAATAAAACACCACTTACAGTTGGTATTTTTCAACTTTTCCGAGTGTCATAATAGGGAATTTTCATATTTCTCAAATTATTTTTTTTTAGATACTTCTAGTGATAAGTTATTACATAGTTTCTTTTTTTCCACTTTAATTTATACATTGTACGAAAAAAAAATTATTGAAATTCAAATCAAATACTTTGGCGCGAAAACACGAAATCTCGATATGACAGCGCTTATGACGTTAAGATTTTGTAAACAGCAAATATACAGCAAACGAACTTCTGCTGACGTAGTGCTATTTTTGTGTTATTCAAGTGTGTTAAAGTTTGCTTTTTGTGAAAATTGTCGCAATGTGGATGAAGAATATTGTAAATGACTGCTTTTGTATTTTTTTTTTACTTGCAAGTTCCCTATTGACAGGTTTGTTTACAGAATCGTGACGTCACAAAAGGTAGCCATCATGGAAGCATTGTTTTGGCGGGAAATTTTTTATTTCAAATTTAGTATTATTTTTTGTGTAACAAGGGTGGTATCAGTTAAATAAAAACTGGTCATATAAATATTGTGCAGCATTAACTATATATTTAAAACAAATTTGGAAAATTTTAGTTCACTTGCAAGTTCCCTATTCGGCTACCGCCCACCCACCGCAGTAAACCACATAAGAATGCATGCGGTGCCATTGATGACGCATATGGGCACAAAAATACAAACTGTACTGTAATTAACTGATCGAGAACACAAAAATTTATTAATATTGATAATATGTAATAATTCTTAATAAAGTTGTTGCAGATAGGCAGAGAAATCCAAGAAAAAATAAACTAAAGTCTGTTTTTTTTTTTAAAGATAAAAGTCAAAATGACAATATATGTTGGCAATACAATGTGAAATTGTCAATGCTTTCAAATTTTTTATGCTGAAAAGGCTTGTGTACTTGCCAACATAGTTAAAGTCTGTTTTTTTTTTTAAGATAATTCCCCAAGTCAAAAGTTTAGTAACTATGTTGGCAACACAAGCCTTTTCTACATAAAAAATTTGAAGCATTGACAATTTTACATTGTATTGCCAACATAATGTCAGTTTGACTTTTATCTTTAAAAAAAAAATACAGATTACTAAATTTTTGACTTGGGGAATTATCTTTAAAAAAAAAAAAAAAACTTTTCAAATTACAGAAACATACATTTTTCTGTTAGATATTTGTGAAAAATACTGAAAAACTATACCGGTATGAACCGAAATAATTGGTCCGTACCGATCGAAATATTTGTTTTAGAACTGGAACCGTAAGGTACGCTAGGGACCGGAACCGGAACGGAACCGATATTTTATTTCGGTCCGGGTCCCTTTGCATTCGCAATCGCATGGATTCACTCAAGGATAATACATACTACTACAGGATTGCTTATCGGCCTAGTTTTTGGTAATCGCGGTCATATGATGTGGCACCATTGCCGACGTCATTAACTAAGTCGTCAGCTATTTGCGCCAGCGATTGAAGCTTAGAATTTAAATTTATGATGAAAAATATTTAATTTTGTTTAACATAATAGGCAAAGAGGAAGATACAAACAAGATCTAACAAAACAGTTGTTTTAGAATTTTATATAATGTAGTTAAAGTAAAACCAAATATGCATCAAGCAATGCCTGATAACTTTTATGATATCATCTGAGGTGCCTCAACACTCTGACTCCAAGAGCAACCTAATACTATGTGAACCGCAACTAATGGTGTAAAATGAATTATCCGAGTGTCAAACACTTTAGGTTAAAAAAACGAATTCCGAAACGTTAAAATCACCTTTTCTACATTTAAAATCATTTTTTCTACATCTAAAATCGACGAAAAAATTAGCTCACAAGCACAGCCTGAATCGCAAGCAATCCATCTAGAGGTCTGCGGGTGACGTCACCACTTTCAGCTTCTGATTGTGGTGATGTCACTCGCAGACCAGCTGCCAACTCGAGAGTGGCGAACGTACGTCTTATTAGCATGAGCAATCGAGCTGTTTTCTCGCGTTCACTTTTTTGAAACTGGTTCAAAACAGGTTTGAAATAGTATATTCTCCCGATGAACCCATTACGTCACATCAAAATTGGTTCAAACCGTTTCGAAATACAATCCAATTCACATTTTCACGATCCGAGAAGTTATGACGTCATTTGACACTGTTTCAAACCATTTTTGAAAAACCTTTTGGTACGCGAGAAAACGTTTTAGGATTTTTGCTCTGAGAATACGAGTCGATTGACTTTTCATCTATCCGTAACGTAATAGTAAGGACCGTTTTTTTGGCCATTTTGCGACAGCACAAAAAAAAAATCTAAATCAATGCGTTGGCATTAATCTGTGGTTGGCATTGTTCCTTGGTGAGTTATTTATTTGATTAATCTACGTCGGTGTCATTATGACACATTTAGCATTGTCATTTGAATGTCATTAGGTCCTTCATAATAGCACTAGTGCGTTTAAGAATTCATAATAACACCCAAATTTTGAAATGAAAAATATACAAAAAGAAAGTTAGTTGCCAGAAGAACCTTTTCAATAATGCTGTCTCTATATTCGAAGAGACACTTTCAAACTCAGATTCACCAATAATAATATTATTTTCCACCATAAAATTGAATTTATGGCACAAAAATGGACTCCAATATTGAAGTTGCCAAAGTCAAAATTCTAAAAACCAACAAGCAGGTTCTCGACTTGTACGGGCACCTGCTAAATTTCAAATTTTAATTTGAAAAGTTTTTGCTATTTCAAGGCAAATCAAATCTATTTGAACCATTGTAGATTAAATTTTGAATGATACACGTTCGATATGAACTTTATTAATGAAACTTGTGTAACTTATAACGTTACACGCGTTTCATTATGGCATTCATATCGAACTTGTATCATTAATAACTATAATATAAATATTTAATGATTTAAGATCCACTAAATTGTTTGTAAAGGAAATAAAATGAATCTAAATCGAAATCGGCCGTTTTCTTAAAAACTTGCGCATTTCGTCGAATTGAAAATTGAAACTTTTAATTGCTCCCAAACTACCATCGTGACCTGTTCTGACGAATGAGAGTAGAGTATAAAAATGTCAAATGGCTCAAAACGAACAAGGCTGCCACACCGTCAACCATCATAACCCAAGATCATAACCCTAAATTTTCCACCATTATTTTCAAGTTCTGTCATTTGTTGAGAATTTCTCGTTTTGTGCAACGCCTGGTTGGGAGCCCTGATTCCGGAAACTTGTTTAAGTTTTAAAAAAAATGTTCCCTAGATTTATTTCAAATTGGTAAATATTTGGTTTTCTTTTAATTTGGATTTTCCTTGGGCGCTTGAGCTTAATTTATATTCTATTTTTGCCCTTTTCTTTTAAGACATACGTCTGATGCATTCTGTGCCAAAATAATTAATAATATAAATCTTCCTGATTTGAATTTGTTTATTTTCGTGTTCCTACTGCTATTTTGAAAATTAAAAGAAAAACAACAATGCTAATGTTTTCTATTGGGTATATTTTTAACTTCTCCTTTCCTTTTATGAGCAATCATTTCTCAGTATTATGTTATGAAACAATGAAAAATAATTTTTTTTTATTTTTATATTGTACCTATATGTTATATTAAAACTTGAAATCAAAGGCCAGCATTATACACTTTTTAATTTATCAGAAGTTTATTGTTTATTTTTTCTAGAAGATAAATCATTGGTCATTATGTATTATCAATATATATTAAAAATTAAAATCTAGATACTTACCTAGTACATCTTCTGACTGTATTTCACTCCCGCCTTTTGTAAATAATTTAGTATTTTGGCGCCAATAATATTATAATTTTAAAGTTAGGGTTATTTGTTATTTTTCACTTAGTGTAGTGCCACACATAGCGTTTTTACCGCTGCGGCAAGAACGCTCCGGTTTGCCGGGATGGTGTAAACTCATTTTATTGAATGAGAGCTGTCACACACAGTGTTGTACCGCACCGAAACCGGATGCAACCGCATCATGCTGCGGCGGTACCGCACAATCGGACGACCGCAATAGAACGAAAGCACATGCAGTTGTATGCTTGTAGTCACACCTGACGGTTCGAACGCAGCGGTTCTACAGAAATTTTTGAGTTCGTGGTTTGTTGTTTGTCTTTCCATTAAATTTCATCATGTTTGACATGGATCTTTCCATTGAGAATGTCCACAGTAAACAAGCATTATAGGAGAAAAGGTCGAAAGAATACATAGTCATACATTCGAATTTTGTCGTAGAACTTTGCAAACCTTTTACTCGACTCTCGTTCCAAATTGAAAGGGTGAATCCAATATTGACGATCCACCTCCTTTCCCAATAAACCCTTCGCTTCTAGAGCACACTTCTCTCTCTCTTTAATGAATTCGCCATGATACTACCACTACCAAAAGTCGATTGGCGAAACATCCCGTTGGAACGGAGCCCGATGGGATAGTGTGACATGTAGAGTTCCTCCGGTCAAAACGCATCCGTTCTTGCCGCAGCATTAGAAACGCATAGTGTGACACCGCACTTAGGCAGGTGACACACTGGAGAAATAAGTTTCCTGAAACTTGTTGCAAAAAACTGTAAATTTGTTTCATTCATTATTACCACACAACACGACACATACATTCAAATGAGGCGGAGTACACTGGCGCTTCTGAAAGAGGAGAGCAGAAATTGCTTCACTTCTTTTGAATGTATGTGTATTGTGATAATGAAACAAATTTCCAGTTTCTTGCAACAACTTTCAAGAAACTTATTTCTCTAGTGTTTTAAGATATGTTGATTCATGTAGAAATTAAATTAAATTTATCATTCAAGTTAACAAGTTGGTCTAATGAAAAACAACAAAGGCGTTTATACACCATTCACCATTTAATTTTAATTTAATCTTCTAGTAAAATTAAATGAAATGTTCAGTGGGCAAACTGCATTTGGGTAGATATTAGATTAGATTGTATGGATGATTCAGCTATCTTGGTAACAAATAAATGTGAACAGTGAAAAACAATGTCGACAAAGGCTTAAGAGTTATAAGGATAAAATAGGGGAATAAAGGCGCCTGGAATAAAAGAAATAACAATAAGTTTCCTCTGGCACCAAAACAAATACAGGGGTCGTATTTTCGAATATTTTCGCATATGAAATTTGATACGATTTCGAATGGTCGTCATTTAATTTACATTGCTGTCAGTCAAATTTCGTGTACGAAATGTACTCGAATGAATTCGAAAATACGGCCCCAGGACAAAATAACATTCCTTGATAATACATCAGACTATTTGTTTATAAAGCTACGTACGCACTTTGCGAGGCAGCCTCGCGAGGCTGCCTCCCGAGGCGTGCTTCGCAAAATTAGTACCTGCCTCGACACACGGTCTGCCGCGTCGAGAGGCAGCCTCGCGGTGAGCCATGTTTAGTCGGTTTTTTGGTCGTGCTCAAAGAAGCCTCGTAGCGCGGCATTTCCAAGTTTGTACGTGCTTGCTGGTTATGAGTGACATTGATGTTGCCTCAGAGCGAGTCAATGAATGACGGCTCGCGTTGCCTTGTGTTTAGCTTCTGCTACCACTTCAAAAGTAATGCGAGGTCGCTCGCACTGCGGCAGCCTCGCGAGGCAGTCTCTCAAAGTCCGTACGCGGCTTAATAATCAACCAAGACAAGGCGATATATTAGCACAGCATATATCTGTGACTTGGTCGAAAAAAGGCCTATCTAGCAAAATCAAGTTTTGAGATAATTGAGGATTTGTATGAAAATTTGAAATGCTTATTGTTACTTTTTTGAATTTGATAAAATTTTGGCAGGGTCTACTAAAAAGCAGAATTATTCATATAAAACATTTATTTTTTGAAAATCTTCTACTTTTAACATACTTTTGATTGTTAGGCCCCTGCATTTTTTTATCAATGTACATAAGCCTTTCTTGTGATAGGTGACAAGTAGCACTTGGGACCTAAAAAGTGTTACTTAGGCCTTATTGTTAATAAGAACGGTACTTAGGCCGTTTTTAATTCACTTGAAACGCTTTTTCTTTTTTTTTGTTTGGCTACTATTAATCGAAATTTTGCTGAAAATTAAATTTGTTTCAATTTTTAAAGAAAAAAAATCTGAAAAAAGTTTTTAAAAAAAGGCAAACACCTGTATTATTCGTTATATTCTGAACCTGATGGACAAACTTCATCTTCTTGGCCTTGATCGATTGATAAATGCATAAAAAAGTCGACTATTGGTACTGGGATGTACGTAAAACAACAAACTTTTGATCCATCCAGTTTTTTGCTGGGAAGGGGAAGGGTATATCAGTTGTGAAATTTCTCTAAATTCGGTAATGCTCCTGGTTTCACCTGATTGCCGTTATTTCTTTCTTGTTATATCCCTCACTTTAAATTCTTCTTCTTTCAAAAAGCTTTGTAAATAATTTTAATAGAATTATCCACATCTGAAATAGTTTGCGTTAAGAAACGACATTGGTTCTCCTTCTGTTTTTTTTTTTGCGATTTATGAAATGAGCTTTTTGAAGAAGACTTATGTATAAAAATCCTCCTGCGACATGGCAATCACTTTAATTCCCCCTTTTCGTTGTACAATTCTGATAAGTGTAGACCAGTCTCTGAGCATTTCTATGTTCATTGAAGTTTTTAGGTTTCTGCAATTGCAGCCTGAATCAGTCTTAATGGGCTCTTTCACTAATTTTTGAAATTGGCATATTTGGATAAAGCAACTAAAAACAGAATTTTCTGTATTTTTACTTTTGAAAAATTCAAAGTCCTTCTTGAGAAAACAGAAAACAAAGAAATACCTCCAAATAAAAACCCAGAATTTATTTCTATGACGTCGCAGCTCGCAATTTGACCGTGTTGCCACTAATTGTCAACATTGAAAATTTGTAATAGATTTAATTCTGAAATGTTGGCAAAATCTCATGAAAAGTAGTTAAATTAATTAGTTATAGATTCAAGATTTTATAATTTTTTTTTTTTTAAATTATGCTTAAATACAATTTAATGCAATTTTTTATGTTTAGTTTTATTTATTTATTTTACGCTGCACTACATTTAGTCACAACCGACAACAGCGCATTCGAACCTTTACGTATCTTTACAGAGCGCAAACACAGCCGAGCCCTTCCTCCTTGCAACGACATAAGCGAAATGAAGAATATTTATGTGACGTCGGCAAATCGGCGCGTTTTAAAATAGTTTGAATTTAGGCACTTTTGATTGCCTATGAAAAACTTATTGAACCTTGTAGAACATTTTTTTTTGGTATATATGCCTAAAATAGTCCCTCCTTTGAGATTTTATACTTAAATTACGTATTTAAATTTTAGTGAAAGAGCCCATTGAACATAGGTCTTTATATATGCATTATAAGTTTCACACTTGGGTCCTTTTTACATTAAAATTTTGATAACCTAGGAGTTTTATCCGCTTAGGACCTTTTTCATTTAAAAGAGCACTATTTATTTGGCTAGTTAGGCCCAATAGATCATTTTTGAAAATTTGCACTTAGGCCCTTTTTCGACCAAGCCACAGATATTAGGTCTGTTTCTGCAGAAATCACAAACCAGTCGGAGTGAATTTTATTGGTTGAAACTAGTTTTCTGACTGTTTCTGACCTATTATTACAATATCGGCTATTCTTTTTTCCACCTGTGGATCCATCGATAAATAGTCTTCTAGTAGTTCCAGTCTATCTTTGTCAAGTTCTAGATCAGTGGTTCCCAAAGTGGGCGATAACGCCCCCCCAGTGGGCGCTAGAACCATCTCGGGGGGCGGTGAAGAGCTCAGCTGATTTTCGGGGGCGGTAAGCATAAATTAGTGGGCGGTGAAAAATAAACGAACAGATCAGAAAAAAAATTAAAATTAAATAGTAAATGGCTTTTTACGGAAATTACTCTTTAATACTATAAAGATAAAGCTGATAGTCAGTCTATGTCTATGTCTATGCCTTTCGGAGTCAATTTTGGCAAGCTTCCAGTTATGAACGCAACCCGAGAGTTCTGACGCAAATCCCGGAGCCCGTACGCACCTCAACTAAGTCTGCTATGACTTGCTTAAAATGCGATACCGCTAATACACGCATTGATCAGCAGCAGCTGCATTAAAATTATTGTATTTTACTTATAAATAACTTCAAAAAGCTCAAAAATAAGCTCGGTGAAGTTAGCCCCCCACATTCGAATTTTCTAACAAAATTGCAACCACTTTAAACTGTGCTGTTCTGATACCAAACTTATAGGAAAAACAAGATGAGGGGCTAACTTGACGCTCAGCCGCTCCAAAATTTTGGAAATCCGATCAAACAAAAATGAATTTTTATGCAATCGGAATAAGTGTACTGAACTGTGTTGTATCAGGTTTTTCTCGAATTTTCCATATTCGGTAATTTTCAAGCAAAATCCTATTGGGGGATTAACTTAACGCTCAGGCCCCCAAATTTTGGAAATAACATGAAACAAAAATGGACTCTTAGCTAACTTGACACTCAGCCCCCCCACCAAAAAAAAAAATTGTAAATCAGATCAAACAAAAATGAATTTTTATACAATCTGAAGTGTGCTGGACTGTGTGCTGTATCAGGTTTTTCTCAAAATTTCTATATTCGGTATTTTTCGACAAAATCCTACTGGGGGGGCTAACTTGACGCTCAGCCTCCCAAAATTTTGGAAATAAGATGAAACAAAAATGGGTTCTTATGCAATCTGAAGTTTGCTGAATTGTGCTGTATCAGGTTTTTCTCAAAATTTCTATATTGGGTCAGTTTCTGACAAAATCCTACTGAGGAGGTAACTTGACGCTCAGTCCCTCGCCAAGAAAATGCACAACCATTAAAAGTGTCAAAAAAAATGGCGCCGCTTCAATATTTTGGATCCTTGCCAAGGGGGGCGTTGGATAATTCCCATTTTCTAAAAGTGGGCGGTAGGTTTGAAAAGTTTGGGAACCACTGTTCCAGATCATAGAAAATCGGAATGGCAGTCTCATAATGGTAAATACATTAATGAAAAGAAGAATGCTATATTTCATCAAAAACAGATAGCTTTTGTAGCTCAGCATATAGGGGAAGCCTAGTTCTCATGCAGGGGAAAATCGCTTGGCGGACGCGGAATTTTTAAACTTTGTCCCGCCGGCGTGTTTCGAAAAACGTCCTCATTTGGTCTCCTAGCCCTGGCAGGGATATGGGCCGGCAACCATGATATCAAGTTTTCTTTATTAAAACATTTAAACAAATTCAACTTGTTGAATTTTGAGTTTCATTAGGAAACTCGAAGGGTGCGAAGGTCGCTTCAAGTCAGAATCTTGTACTAGTTGTCAAAACAATCCATAATACCTATAATGATTCAGTTTTGTAGGTGGTTTTAAAGATAGATATTCTCGAGGATATTCTTTTATCTGATTTAAGTTAAATTAAATGTCGTTCGCAGCGCAAACAAACTTTGTTTTCCCTTTGACTTCTTAACTTAAATCTGAAATAAAAAATAAAAAAAATTGCCTCCATTTTCTGAAAGAAACAATAAAATATCACTTGAATATTATCATTAGATATTAGTAGATATTTATCAATTATCAAAGATGATGATTTTGGTATACAGACAGGACCAGGCTACTAGACACATAGGCTCCAATAGAACCAGTTGATTTATACCCCACTGATCTCAAAAATAAATGGATAAACAAAGAACGCTTCTAATGCTGCTAATTTACGAGGTCATAATTGTAAACAACTAAAACAGCCATGAGCATGCGCAGTAGATACATGTACTGTGCGTGCGCAAATTATAGCCAATGAAAATGAAGGAATTTCAAAATTTAGAACAGTTGTTCGAAAGATAAGACACTGCGCAGGCGTTAGGCTGTTTAGTTGCACAACTGTTCGTAGAATATTGACCCCAAATTTTTGCACAAGTTTAGCCAATTGAGCCGTACGATTGTACATCCATTTATTTTTGAGATCAGTGATTTATACCCTTCTCACTGCAGGAACGTCACTGTGGATCATTGATCGTCCCTGCAAGTTATTAAAATTCGTGCATCTTCGGCATCACCGCCTCGATTCGCCTAAACTGGATACAAGCAAATTTGTCTCATTACTTTCGATGTGTCTAGTAGGTTGGTCGGGTCTGAATGGTCTGTATATTAAATGTCTGTATAATACGATCAAACTAAAATAAAATCTTAAACTTAATTATATTTCTGTAAAAAATCATGTTTAATTATTTCTTCCTAAAGTTAGGATTTTTTTTTGTTGTATTCGTTTTTATATTGTGTAATTTTTTTTTTCTGGAGGTAATCATGGCGTCAACAACACAGCAATGCCTATTATGCAACTCCAGTTGCTTATCAGTTCGAAATTCAGTGAACATATTTATTAATGTAAGTTTTTTTTCTCCCTTAACAATTAACTTTTCTAGCAATAAGTATTTATTAACCAATCAAACTATCATTCCAGAATTCAGGTTCCAGCGATCTTAATCTTGCCACAGTCCTAGAAGAAATTTTAGAAAGCCCCCTGACACAAGAATCAGTTCACTCTTCAATAATTTGCAAAAAATGCTACAAGCTAGTAGACGAATTCGATGAATTGCAAAATCGTCGTATTCAAATTAAAAATGATATTTTTGAAAACTATCAGAATACTCTGGAGGCCAAAATAGAGGCTCAAAGTGCTCAGGAAATTGTTGACGATGTTCCTGATACAATTGTAGAAGAGACCGAAATTCATCTACCATCAACAACAAAAGTTTTACAGAATGGAGCTTTGAGCAGAAACGAGCTACCGAAAAAGATTCTCGATATACCTTCTAGTGACGATGAATCAAATCAGGTATTGAAAATTCAACAAACATTTTTATTATTGTCCTGAATTGTATTTGTTGTGACTTTGTTTAAAATGAATAGAAGTTGGTCATGCATTCTTCAGCAAGTACTGAAAATCTCCAAAGATCGTTATATGAATTTAAAATTCTAGTGATTTTGATTTTAAATTTTAAATGTTGGTAATTACAGGTTACAGAAACAAATTTCCAATCGATGGAAGATATAGATATGGAATTGGTTAAAATGCACAGCAGTCCAGCAGAAATAGATATTAACCCCTTTGCCAATACAGATACAGAAGATGAATCAAGTACAGTTATATCAAGTAAATATTTTATTCATTTAATAATAAAATTATCTTTGATTTGTTTTTGTGATAGCTTTATTTATTGACTACTAATCAGAAATAAACGCGCCACCATAACGTCAATTCTGCAAATAAGTAGAATTTTCGTTTAAAACTAATATCAATGAAAACTTACTCAATTGGTACTTCTAAATGTCCATCAAGTAATCTTCCTGCCTGCATGAAAAGTGCTATCGAGGCATTTTTAACTACTTCCTTGAGATTTTGGATGGAATGATAAGATACTACTACCAAATTGGTTTTCAAAACAGTAGGGAATCAAGGGTAAAAAAAATCAGTAAACTCAATAAGAATTATATTTTTAATCTTTTTTTCAAGATTTTGGATAAGATAAGGTACCTACCTCTACTTATTATCTTTTAGCAAGAACTAAACAAAGTTCTCTAAAATTCTCTTTCAAATTTTTTTCAAAATCAGCAGTTGAAATTATCAGAAAACTCAACAAAACAAGGTTTTCATCCTTTTCTCGGTTGAAAATAATAAAAATTTCAACAGATTTAAGAGAAGCACAGCATCTCTGGTCTAAGATCTCTAAACCAAGATTCAGAGGCATATTTTTTGTAAAATTATTTCATAATAGTTTAATGAATGATCACAATGGTCTCATACCAACATTCCATAACTAAGAATAAACTCAACCATGGGATAGTATGCCATCAGCATGATTCATCTGTGAATTAGTGAGTGTGCGTATACAAAACCATTCATTTGAGAAATCACTTTAATGCTTCTTAATAAATTACACACAATATGAGATTCCTGATTCCTGAATAACCACGCAAAGGTCGTTTACAAAGGTCTCAGCTTGTCCTCAGCAATTATTAGAATAAGGTAACAAACAAAACAAAACTCAAGTATAAAGTGTAGAGTTTAAAAAACAGAACAAAACAAAAATATGCGACTAAGTTTTCATAAGACAAACAATTAATTAAAATACCATATCCAGCATACTTATAATAAATTTCATATTATGTAATTTTATTTTAGCTACCCAAACTAGTTTTGTAAAAATTAAAACGGAACCGACAAGCAATGAAGAGCCGTCCATTTCCAACAAACCCAACATATTGAAAAAAAAGTCCCAAGACAGCATTACTTACAGCGATAACATTATCATCCAGCAGTCCAATGATACATTCAAAAACATTGATGACGCTTCCAATGTCTCGTGTGTGTCCAGAGAAGGCAAAATATACACTTGTCTGTTGTGTACAGGAAACGAGACAGTGGCAGGAGAAGCGAAAGCGATAATTGGCCATGTTAAAGAGGCTCACAACACCAGACTTTACATTTGCGATGTATGCGGTCTCGATTTCAGTAAAAGGAATCTCCTATCCGCCCATGTAGATGACCATGTGGCCAATGAGGAAGGTGACTTTCAGTGTGAAGTTTGCAATAGGATTTTTACCAATTTAAGATTATTCAGGATTCACAGAAGAATGCATTTGCCACACAATAAGTCTTGGCAATGCAATACGTGCGGCAAAAAGTACAGCAGTAAAAATTTGCTCGATGAGCACGTCAACACTCACTTAGGGGTGAGGCCTTATGCTTGTAGCACTTGCGGCAAGGATTTCGCTAGTAAATATACATTTAAAGCTCATGAGAAAACGCACGAGACTCGTCCAAGACCTTTCAAGTAAGTATTATTTTTTCAAGTTGAGCAATTAACCTATGAAAAGTCAAATTCTATGAGAACATGTACTTCTTTCTCATCATAGGCACTTTCACTACCAAGTATAATTATGAAAAACTATACTTGTCTATAGTTGAGAATTTGTATTTTAAACATAGTTCAAATTTTGTAAAGATGGGTATGTTTTCCAGGTGCGAGCAGTGTGGTAAAGCCTTTCTTAGCCAGCAAAACTTAAGTCAACATGAAAAAACTCATGTAGGCATAAAGGAGTATCAGTGTCATCTTTGCAACAAAACTTTCGGCACTACTCACAGTCTAGAGGTGCATTCACTAATTCACACCGGATACAAACCGTACTATTGCTCGTTGTGTGGAAAATCATTTGCTAGAAAAGCAGAAATTCGAGACCATGAGAGAACGCACACTGGAGAAAGACCTTTCCAATGCGAATTTTGTGGAGCTACTTTCAGTCAAAGGTAAAAATAACTTTCTAGTTGAATATTCCTCTCTTTCCGCAATCTAACTATTTTGATTGATAGTTTAACTATAGCTCTATATTGAATAGTTGTTGTTATTTTAGGTCTAATTTACAAACCCATAAAAGAACTACTCACTATGATGACAAGCGGTACCGATGCGATGTAAGTTTTTTATTAAATTTTCAGTGCAAGTTTAAATTATTTTATTCTGTACAGACATGTGGTAAATGTTTCAAACGCCGAAGACTTTTGGATTATCATTTGAAAGCAGCCCACACAGGCGAAAGGCCCTTCGAATGTGACATATGCAAAGCTACTTTTATTTATCCTGAACATTTTAAGAAACACAGAAGGATTCATACTGGCGAAAAACCATATAAGTGTGAGGTAGGTATACAGATTTTTGATTAGAAATTAAAAATTCTTTTAAAAAAATGCTTGGTTTTAGGTTTGTGATAAGGCATTCGTTTCTCGGGATAATAGAAATGCTCATCGGTTTGTACATTCTGATAGGAAACCGTATGAATGTTTGGTGTGTAGTGCTGGATTTATGAGGAAACCACATTTATTCCAGCATATGCGGGCGGAAGGCCATGTGAATGATACTATAGTGATCAATCAACCAAGACTTACTTTAGGTAGGTATGAAAAAATAAATTATCTCTAGTTAATTTTTTTATTTTATTTTACAGATGAGAAAGTTGATATAGAATCTGAAACTTATTTAGTGCCTGTTGAAGATGTTGATTCAAATGACATCAAACAGATTATAGGAGGAGGTAAGTACAGGGTGCTGCAATTTGGAGTGGTTTAACAGGAAAAACATACTTCCAGGCCAGATAGAGGAAAATAGACTTCGATGTCATGGGATGGATTTTCGAGAAACGTCGATTGTCAAAAACCGTATCGCGATATCTTCAATGGTACTATTAATACACGGCGATTTTCGATTTTCCCCTATTATGAAAAATGGCTATAAGTTTTTTGTTTATCAATTTTTTTTATTAGTGTTAAAACATTATGGAGATACTTTTTGAGCACAATCCAGTGGCGGACTCAGTTTTTTTCTATATCGCTCCGATTTCGAAATATCGACCAAAGTCCGATATTTTCAAATGAAAAACCCTATATATTAATAGCTCATTGGATAGCTCTGTTTTTGCTGATTTCAATGATATATAAAGTTCGATAGGTTTATCTCTAACAGTTTTCGAGTAAAATAATTATATCTGTTTCAGTCATAAGAAAAAATGTGTTAGAAAGAGACCTTCTTCATTTTCCTTACATATATAAAATCCTTTTCTAACACATTGGTCCTTACGACAAAAACAGATATGATTTTTTTTCTTGCAAACTGTTAGCGATAAACCTATCGAACTTTATATCATTGAAATCAGCAAAAACAGAGCTATCCAATGAGCTAATAATATATAGGGTGTTTCATTTGAAAATATCGGACTTTGGTCGATATCTCGAAATCGGAGCGATATAGAAAAAAACTGAGTCCGCCACTGGATTGTGCTCAAAAAAGTATCTACATAATGTTTTTACAGAAATAAAAAAATTGATAAATAAAAAACTTATAGTTATTTTTCATAATAGGGGAAAATCGAAAATCGCCCTGTATCAATGGTACCATTGAAGATATCGTGATACGGTTTTTGACAATCGACGTTTCTCGAAAATCGATCCCATGACGTCTAAGTCAATTTTCCTCTATCTGGTCTGGAAGTATGTTTTTCCTGTTGAAACACTCCAAATTGCAGCACCCTGTACAAAAAAAGAAAAATCAAAAAATATAAATTATTGATAATTTTTTAGAACAAGTTGGTGACCACATAATGATTGATCACAAGAGAATTACGGGTATTGATAGTTCTGATAATGAAGAAAATGCAACTGAACTTGTTGAGGCAACAATTAAAGAGGTAAAAAATAATGTTTATAACAATATTAATTTCACAATCAGGGATGCAATGAACACAAAATTAAATGATGTTACAAAACAACAGTTGGACAAAGATGGTTCCAATTCAATTTCAATCCAAGTCATTTTTAGTCTTAAGACTACTTTGCCTTGATCTTTCTAGGGTCATGTGTTTTTGTTCAGACTCACAGAGGAACTAATTTTTGACAAAAGAAAATCAGTGGCTTATAAATAGCAATAGATTTAAATTATGACCAGAAAAATATATTCTCTCTTTTGAACAACTAATAAACTTTGCATTATAAGAATCCATTGATGAATAAGTTAAAGTACATTAAAAAATCTAGAAGACTTTTTTTCCAAATATTTTTGAAAAAATTGGAAGTAAACTTGGGGATCTGTAATCAAATCAATTTTAGGCCGATGAAGATGATGATGCAGAAGAAGAAATGAACTATGGAGACATTTTAACGACTGAAATATCCAACGTGATCTCAACTAATGAAACGCAAATAATTGATACACCTGATGGGCCAATTCAGTTGGTGAAGGTGAAAATTCCAAACGAAAACAATGAAATAGAGGAAGCCTGGATTAAAATTGTACCATAATAATTTTTGTACTTGAAAGGATAGATTTGAATTAGTTAATTATCAATTTTCATGACTTATATTTGCTTGCTATTTGAAAAAGCATTTTTAGAATAGGTCTTTATTAAACAGGTGACTCTTGATGGTTAATTCATTGAACTTGGTTGGTATTTTCCTGGCTTGTGGGATTGGTAGAAGTAATACCCAGGGCCAATGTCAATAAACTGAATGAGCCATTATCTCATCAACAAGTCATATATTGCTAAGGCGATGGGATGTGAAGATCTTGGCTGTCAATTGGAAACTTTATTGTGGATATACTGGTAGGTGGTTTTCTTTTTAAAGCCGAAGTCTTGAACACTTATAAAACTTTTGTATTTGTATTATTACATACATATATTCAGTGTTATTTTTATTTCTTTTTATTGTTTTAGGCTATCTTACCTAAAATGAAATTAATTTTTAGATTGTTATATGTACTTTATTGTAAAGTCGCTCTGCCGTTGAAATGAATAAATAGAATAATATTTATTGCGTAATTTGTACAGTATATAATACAAAAACAATACACAAAAGGCAACATTCGCTGAGGCGTTCTTCCATGTTGCCCTGTCTCTATAAACACTTTCAAACTACCAGTGGCGGACTTAGAACCTTTGGGGCCCTGTCATGCTTTTTTTTAGGTATTTTTCTTGTGGTGTTGGGGTGTGAGGTGAGTGTGCGAAAGTTATTTATATTATTGAAGTTTTCGACAACCAAATATAAAAACAAATTTAATTAAAAAACAAGTTTATCAAGAACATACAGGGTGTCCCACGGTAGATCGCGTATTAGACGTTTATGGAGAACTAAAAAGCGGATTATTTTGAAAATTTGGCAACCTGGATAAACGACCATATTCTTCACTTTAAAAATATTTTTGTTTATACGGTGTACTCTAAATCAGTGGCAACATAGCTATTTTAAATGGAACACCCTGTATGTGATTGCATATTTGGATTCTACGTAAAATTCTGAGCAGATTTCATGTGATAAACCCTATACCTAAGTTCAACTGTTTTGGAAATATTGACAGTTGAAAATTGACTTTTCGCAACTTTGAGAGGCTGTATAACTTAAACGGTTAATTTTAGAGAAAAAACGATTTTATTTACAATCATACATGTAATGTTGACTTTACTGACTTTTAAAAAGTTCGAAAATGTCACTTTTTTGACTTTTACTTTCGGCCCACGGGTCGAAAGTTTACTTTCGACCCGTGGGCCGAAAGTGAATGAAATTTTTAAAATTTATTGTATTTTTTGACTTTAACTTTCGGCCCACGGGTCGAAAGTAAACTTTCGACCCGTGGGCCGAAAGTAAATGAAATTGTTAATTATTGTATTTTTTAGTTTTAATCAAAATGAAAATTTCAAAATTCGAATGATTGTAAATAAAATAGTATACATACCTCGGTGAAAAGTTTCATTACTGTCTCGAGATTTCAGTTAGACCTCGGCTGCGCCTCGGTCTAACTTAAATCTCTTGACAATAATGAAACACTTTCCACCTCGGTATGTAATATACTATTACATATTCCTATCTTACGTGAAAAAAGGTAAAAAAAAATTTCCCACTACCAATAAAATATGTATAAAAAATAAATTTAGACTAATATACTTTACGCACTAGTGCGTATAGTGAAGTAATTTACTAGAAAAAAATGACAATGTCGACATCTGTCATGGCATTATACTTCATGCGTTAGTGTGTAAAGTGAATTACTTAACGTACTAGTGCGTGAAGTGAAATTTATCGTCTTTTGAATAGTGCGTAAAGTGAGTACCTGCTTTACGCACGGTACTAGAAAATAGCTATTTATTTAACAAGTGTGTAAAGTGAACCTTTTTTCACGAATGGGGAATTTTGACAATCACATGAGTGAAAAAAGTTGCTTTAAGCTTCATTCTCAGTTACACGAAATTCGCTCTTTTTTTGACACACGCATAAAATGTCAAATTGTCGAAGTAATGTCAAAAAAGAGCGAATTTCGCGCAACTGAGAATGAAGCTCAAGGGCCGAATTTATAGTCATTCCTTGAGTCTGCCTTTTAGGTCGTGAGTTCAGAATGGACACTTGGTACTATTTGACAAGTTATTCATGTCAATTCTAAACGTTCAAGGCTTCCTTAAGGTCCAAGGAAACCTCAAGGAGCGACTATAAATTCGGCCCTTAAGATTCATTCTCACTTGCGCGAAATTCGCTCTTTTTTGACATTGCTTCGACAATTTGACATTTGATACACGACACGCATAAAACATCAAATAATAGAAGCATTGTCAAAAAAAGGGCGAATTTCGCGCAAAAAGAGCGAATTTCGCACAAGTGAGAATCAGGCATAATTTCGCGCGAGTGAGAATTAAGCTTTACACTTTACACGCGTATTGCATACCTATACAAAAATTTCTACTACCAATATAATATGTTTAAAAAAAATAAATTTAAACAAATTCACGCACTAGTGCGTAAAATGAGAATACTTTACGCATCAGTGCGTAAAGTGATAATACTTTATTTTTATATATACCTATTTAACAAAGGTCAAAGTTAGGTTGTTTTGACGATCTTCGTGTTTTCCGGACATTGTTCTGAATTCCGGCAGGACTTCCCCGGACACCCTAAAAACCCAAACATGTCCGGGTAAATCCGGACGTATGGAAACCCTAATTTAATCTATGATTGAAAATTCCAATTAAATTTGATCTCCGGTTAAATTCAAAGTTGATGTCAAATGATATTTTATATAAATCTAAGACAGGAATGTGAAATCGGTTTTTCTCTAAAATTAACAGTTCAGGTTTTACAGCCTGTCAAAGTTGCAAAAAGTCAATTTTCAACTGTCAATATTTCCAAAACAGTTGAACTTAGGTATAGGGTATACCGCATGAAATCTGCTCAGAATTTTACGTATAGAATCGAAATACGCAATCACATACAGGGTGTTTCCTTTAAAATATCGATGTTGCCACTAGTTAAGAGTAGAAGCGCCTACGTCACAAATGGTGATTTGGTGGGGTAGGGGGCTTCAGATTTGTTCTACACAGGCCCTATGAGGATAGGCTATCCTGTAGTAGTAGCGTGTATTATCCGTGGGTTCGGCCAAAGACAAGTTCGGCCCACGGGCGTGGTCCCGAAAAAAAAAATTCGCCTGCAGCGCTATTTTTTCTATAAGTACGTGAAACATCTATTTCAAAAAAAATTCCCGTTTTTTTTTCAGAATAATATGGTGGTAGCCTTACTATAAGGGCCCGACGCAGAGTTTACCAGTACAAGAGACAAATCGTAGACAATTTTGTGCCAACTGAATTTTATTTCTCCGTTCTTTTGTCAAAAAGCTGAAGTAAGGGCACTTTCCAAATTTCACCGATAAATTGACCGGTTAAATAAACCGGTAGCTGTCAAAAAATTAGGTGTAAGTGCGGTTACAAGATTTTTCTGGTGCATTTTGGAACGTTTTGGTGTGAAAGTTTGGTAGTGTTGCTTATTGTTGTTTGGAATCGGTTTTTTGTCGGATGCAGTGAGGTTGGTATGTATTTTTATTATTTTTAACAGTCAACAAACGGTAGTTTTCACTACAATTTTTGTAGATTATGAGAGCCGAGTGTTTGGTTTGTCGAGTTCATAATGAAAAAAGATAAAATTGTCTAGCAGTTAGGCACAAACCTTTTTTTATTCTGCAATCTGCAATTTAACGATAGTACGACAGTAATGTAGGTACGTCAAAAAAAAGTGCCAAAAAATCTCCAACCGAAAAAACGACAAAAAGTCCTGGGCTGCGTTCAGGAATGACTACAGCCAAGTCAAAATTGGCATTTTGCGTTCGATTTCGGCTCCAACCTACGTGGTTCGGCATTGCCGGGGTGCGTTCAAGGACGGCAATGCTAATGCCACAACCTACTTTTCCCCCTCCAACGGTAATGCTGAACCACGTAGTTTGGAGCCGAACTCGAACGCAAAATGCCAATTTTGGCTTGGCTGTAGCCAATCCTGAACGCAGCCCAGGTGGAGGGGGAAAAGTAGGTTTTGGCATTAGCATTGCCGTCCTTGAACGCAACCCCGGTGGATTCCGTGGCTAGTTGCACCAAGATTCCATTAATCTAAGCTTAATAAAACTGGGATTCAAAAATAAACCTCGATCATTCGACCTGACGTTGCATGGCACACAACTAAGCTCGGTTTGATTAAACTAGTAATTTATAGGATTTTTTACGTTTAGGTTGGCAAACATGTTGAAAATTTGTCAAATGTGAAAGCAAAAATAGAAAATATAACCTAGAAAGCGAATTATTTTTTGTAAGTTTTTCCGAATCGAAGCAGTGACTGAACCCTTTGTATTTTGTAGTTTTTTTCTGCTAATTCGCTTCATTTGAAAAAATAGATCCACTAATAGCACAAGTGAAACAGAGATGAGCCAATTTTACCAACAACGATAAAGCTCTCCTACTATACTAATTAATATTATGGCAAAATACAAGATCATTATTGAAAAAAAAAAAAAAAAAAACTGATTCTCTCTATAGTTTTCTCTATTTTCGTAGCTAGCAAAGTTTCAAACATTCTACAGCTCTTGGACAAGAAGGCCCTGTACTGTTATACTTTATACTTCTGTATTATTTCCTTCCAAGTGTCTTGTTTTTCATTGCCGTATATTCTATTTTGAACAGATATTTCGATCGAGATTGATTATTGAATTTAAAAATCAAATATCTACCTACATAATAATAAATAATGAAATTCTCACAACATGAACATATGCCGTAAACAACGACAGACGGCATGTCATTTCACTTTGCGAATTTCCTTTCTCCGCATTCAATTAGTAAAACTTCCCTTTAAACCATCAAACATGACCGTTTAAGTTGAACCAAGTTCAAATCAAATTAAACTTTGTTCAAGAAACGGTGCAATGGATTTCTTTGATTTAAACCAAGATTAATGTTAAACCAAGATCAGAAATTGTTGGTGCAACTACCCATCGGTGCCTCACTGCCAGGAGTGCGTTCATAAATGAAATACCCGGGCGAAATTCGCCCAGAGCGATATTTACCCAGAGTGCGCCCGGGACTTGAAAAATATATGAACGAGCGGAGCGTAATTTCTGTCTGTCAGAATCATCCGTCAACTAGGTAGTGGTGAAATTCATCTTAACCCAACTTTTCAAATAAAAAAAAATATTATTTATTACCTTATTAGTTTCTAGTTTTAGTGAGGATTCTAGTACAGTACTATAAAAATAGCTCTAGCTCTGTGACCTGCGAAAATTATGTTGGACGAAGAAATTGTTGTGCTAATACTAGTGAGCATAATTAATTTTTGCTACATGATACTGTTGGAGGAAGACTCTGAAGAAACACATGAGGATGAGGATTTACCTAATTTAATCCAGATATCACGTAAACGAAGTTTTTATAAACCTGACCGTATAGAAAATTATGTTGAAAAGGTTGTTTGGAATTACACTAGGGGTCAGTTTCAACAAAATTTCAGAATAACTTTGGATGCATATGATACATTATTAGGATATATTGGCCCAATATTAATTAGACAAACAGATGTTGGCAGAAGCAGATTAGATGTTGAAAAACAAATTTTAGCTGTTATTTGGTTGCTGGCAACACCAGATTCATATCGGTAAGGGCAGAAAGTACACTGGGTATTTAACTGTTAAAACAAAATGGTTTTATAGGTCTGTAGGAGAGAGATTTGATATGGCAAAATCGTCTCTTTCAAAATGTTTTACGAGAGTAGTAAATGCTCTATGTGACATAGCTCCACAAGTTATAAAATGGCCAAGAGGGAATGATTTAGAAAGAGTTAAAGAAGGTTTCGAACGAATTGCAAGAATTCCGAATATTATAGGTGCAGTTGATGGTACATTTATTGTAATCAAAGCACCCAAAGAAGACCCAAACTCTTACCTGACAAGAAAATGTAATTACGCGATGACTTTACAAGCTGTTTGTGATAATCGATTAAAGTTTACAGACTGTTTCGTAGGATTTCCGGGATCAGTTAGCGATACACGAATATTTCGGAATTCCGATCTATATTTTGCTGTACTAAACAATCATGATCACTATATTCCAAATGGTATGACAAAAATCTCATAGAATGTAACTTACGTGGATATTATTTCTGAATTATTTTTAGAAGAATTTATCATTGGTGACAAAGCCTATCCGGTTTTAACATGGTGCATTCCACCTTTCATTGACCGTGGGAACTTAACTGCAGCACAGAGATATTTTAATACAAAAGTAAGTCAGACTCGACAAACTATAGAAAGAGCTTTTGCACTTCTTTTTGGGCGCTTCAGACGATTGAAATTTTTGGACATGAACAAAACAAGTTTTATTCCCAATACTGTTCTTGCCTGCACTATATTACACAATATATGTTTAAATTTTGAAGACTTATTGATTGAGGAATATGTGAGAGGAGGATTAAATGCTGTACAAAACAACGGAGAAGATATTGATGTTTTTTATAATGAACAAGTACAAGAAGGTAGAAATAAAAGGCAACAGATATGTAGGACATTATATCAGTATCAATAGAATGTATGATGCAAATTGTATTTTTGAACGAAACCTGCTAATAATTCACTGTAGATTATGCAAATAATAGTGTATTACAGTACAAGTGGAAATTAGTTATTTACCTAACATGTGCAAAAGTGGAACTTTTCCGCACGCCACGGCAGTTGCACAAACGACGCAAAGCGGAGTTCTGGCAAGCCGGCAAGGGCGGAAAAGGCACTTTACGCATCGTGTTACGTACTAGATTTGTTCTACGAGCTTATAGCTTATAATTATGGCCTAATACGCCACAAACTTTTTAGTGAATTTTGATCAAAAAGTGAAGAGTAATGTGAAATTGTGAATATTCATCGAATTGAGCTATAATAAATCAAATTTTAAATAGTGCAATAAAGTACTTTTCCGGACTAATTTTTTTTTGTATCCTTGTCAATAACAGTCATACAAGATACTAGGGATGTGGCAGGGACTGGCAACAAAAACTACCTCCTACAAATTATTAAAATTTATTTTTTAATTTTGAGTAGAGTAAAAATCAAACGACTTCTTGGTAAGAAAAGTAGCAAAAAAACCGCAGAATAATCCAGAAGTTGCCATTAAACTTAACACCAAGAAACCCTAAATCAACCTTAAAGAGTGCTGGGGATACGTTCCACAAATGTTTAGAATTACCACTTTTATCGTAATATACTATTGTTTATACTATTTATTTATAATGAACATTTATTGGCTTTTAGACATTAAGTTTGGGTCGAGAGTAGAGGTATAAATAAATTTCATTAAATCTGAACTACATGTACTTATTCATGTCAAATCTCGTTTTAAATTAATATTTATTTAAGTTTGACAGCCAGAATAGGTATAGTATTTCCAAAGTCAATTGGAACAAGGTAAACATAAATCATCACTGGTAGCTGACTAGTGGCAGTGCATTTCTTATGAAAATATTCAATCAGCTACCAGTTGTTACCTTGTTCCAACTGACTTTGGAAATACTATACCTTATGGAGACAAATTAAATCAAATGGAACTTACAAAAATAAACATTATTTTTGGTAACGATAACCAATAACTAAACAAATAAACTTTTAAACAAAATAATAAAAATGTAATTCTAGTGGAATTACACGACTTGAATAAAATTAAAAATATTCATTTTTTTTGGTAACCACACAACAAATAAACTTTTGAACAAAATAACAAAAAAAATTGTAATTTTTTTTATTATCTCTATTGCTTGTTTTTATTAGCCATTATTGATATAATAGCATCCATTTTTTGAGCAAAGACATTTAATGCTTCTTTGCGTGATTCCACATTTTCTTTATGGCGTCTTTCCATATTATCTTCTCTTTTATTTGTATTTTCATGTAACTCTTTGACATATTTCTGAAGGGGACTCTCCTTTTCTGGCAATTTTCGCTTAGTGGCAATTTTTTTCTTCTTCAAACTAGGCTCCGATGTATCAGTGTCATTATCATCACTGTCTAACATATTGCGTTCTTCTGTGTCTGGGACTGAAATATACATTAAAATTTTGGAATGTTTCGTTTTGGTAATATAAGCGGTAATATGCAGATTCCGCAATATAATTATATGGGGTGGTTGAAAGGAATGACTTTCTGATTTCAGCTTTATGGCAAGTTAAAAGTAAAAGTATTTACTTAACAGAAAAACTGTCGAATGCATCTATCGCAGGTGGACAGTTTACAGTACTTTCGATAATTATTGTTCTTTACCTCTACCTGCGGCAAATTCTGTCAAGTGAACACCTTACTATACAGGTGGAATTCTTAAATGGAATAAATTCAGTATTGGAAAGCCTGTTTATTTGCTGAACAAAATTAAAAAAACGGGTCCCTTTATTTTTAATTTGGCACAGTTTTTCGACCTTCTCATGGAATTTACCCCTTTTATAAGGGTAGAAACCCCCCCAACTTTTTTTTTTTAAATGTGAAGGCATGTATTGTGATAGCTCGTTGGAATTGGCATAAAAAAAGGAATATGACTCATTATTTACTTTTGCATTTCGGTGATCTAGGAGGCGAGAAAATAATCAAAAAATATTTTTTCACACAATTTTTTCTACTGTTAAAATTGTTGAATATCTTCAGAATTTTTTCTTGGTAGAACCCTAATGTGAAAAAAAGCCCCATTTGTAATGTTATGTAATAAATTCTGACGTTAGTACACTATTTAATTTTGACAATCTGAGTGTAAGGCACCAAATTATTACATAACATAACAAAGGGGGCGTTCTACCAAGAAAAAATCCTGAAGATATTCAACAATTTTAACAGTAAAAAAAATTTTGTGAAAAGATATTTTTTGAATATTTTCTAGCTTCCTAGATCACCGAAATCCGAAATGCAAAAGTAAATAATGTGTCATATTCCTTTTTTTATGCCCATTCCAACGAGCTATCACAATACTTGCCTTTACATTTGATAAAAAAGTTGAAACCCTTATAAAAGGGGTAAATTCCATGAGAAGGTCGAAAAAATGTGCTAAATTACAAATAAAGGGACCCGTTTTTTTTTTAATTTTTTCAGCAAATAAACAGGCTTTCCAATACTGAATTTATTTGATTTAAGAATTCCATCCTATATACATCTATGTAGTGATAGATGACAATGTAATTCTTTTACAATTCCCCAGTCGTATATTTACCTTGGTGCTTTTTGATGTTAGAAGCCAAGGCAATAGGGTTTGCATTATGGGACGTTCCCAAAAATTCGTCCATTTCGTGGAAATATTCAAATTTTATAAATTCCGCACCACTGGATCTGTCACTCATATTATCTTTTTTTTTCATATATTTTCCTTTGAGATACTTATATTTGTCTTTACACTGAGTCGCTGTGAAACATTTTCCTTTTTTTTCCAATGTAGCAGAAATAATTTTCCAAACAGCGTCATTTTTCATTGTACTGGACTTGAATTTTTCCTGATGGTTTTTCACTGCATCTATTAATGCTAGAATGTCAGATCGAGTCCATGTTCGAGTTCCACTGCTCTTATGCATTGAAGTTGACTGCTGTGTGGCTTGACATGGAAAAAACATATTTTTTATCTCTTCATCTAAAGGTGCAATTATAATGCTTCCATCTGAAAAAAATAGGAACTACATATCCTACACATTTGAAAGATACCCTACAAGTTCTATCAGATTCATGTAGTTGCAAAAGTAGCATATTATATGGTTTATAATAATAATGGGGGTCTTGTGTCATATAGCGTCCCACCAATTAAAGGAAAAAACAATTTTTAGACGTAAGTTCTGGTTCTAATAGTATTTTTTTGAAAAGAAAAAATTGCGGAATACACGCGTTTCAACGAAAAAAACATTACATTAAATTTCAAAAAATAGGTATAAAGCGCATAAAGAAATGAGAAAAATTATACTAACCAAACTCACCGCCATCAAACCAAACTCCTCCGACAATCCAACCGGCGATACCGCTAGACTGGCTGGAAAATCATGCTTTTCGAAACAATTCAAGGGATGATTTTAAATAACAATATTCTCCTATTAATTTGAGCAAATAAATTTATTCATTTAATATTTCCCGCATCGCATCTAACCAGGCCTGGGCATTTCAAAGAAAATATACCTATTAACCTTGTAATACTTCACCAGATCGAGCATCTCATTTTACTTATTTTCTCTAGAGAAAAAGTGAATTAGGTAATTTGCCACAACTTTTCTTGGATCAAAATAATATTTCAGTAAGTGAACTATCGTTTCATAAAAGATTTGTAGCGAAATTCGTGGGACGTTTAATGACACAATCACCAACTTGGGTCGCTCTCAAAACTATATAAAATGGTCAAAACTAATGATTGATTCAGAGAAACTATTGTAATTATTATCAGAAACCTGTAAATTAAATACTAACCTAGAACATGTTGTAAATATATGTGATTTTCATCGTTTGCAAATGGTGATCCATCAATTTCGATCAGTTTGAAATTCTCGGGATTAATTTCCATTTCCTCATCCATATTAACAACTTCAACCAACTTCAATAAATAATACTCAACAGTTTAAAAATATCAAAAATCTCCTTTTTCGAGGTTATCAATAATAAACGAAAACTGCGAACCCGAAAACCGAAAACAAACAAACGTCCACTCCTGAAACGTACTGCGCATGTCGGGTCATTTTTACCCATGTCAGCTAGCAGGTCGATTCGGGCGCGCTCCGGGTGCACACCAACGAACATTTATGAACGCCTGGAACATTGACACCGGTGAAGCCGAAGTCATTTATGAACGCATTTGGGCGATCGGGGAGCGCCGGGCGTTCATTTATGAACGCACCCCTGGTTTCAAACAGCTGGGGCGAGTTCAGAAATAACACACCCGGGTGTGATTTTATGGGTGTGGTGTGACTGACATGACAATTCATAGGCGACAACTTTCGTATGAATTTCTGAACGCTTGGTGTGACCAATCGAGCACCAATTGTATTAAGATTACTTTTTTTTGTTGTTCATTTTTTTAATTTGAAGAAAAAACTTTAATTGTTATTTGTGTTTTGTTTATATTTGGTGGGATTAATAGGCGATTTCGGCAAGCTTTGGTTGGTATACCATTTGGTTAACCAATTGGTACCTGCAGCGTCATAGTAATGACGTAAGATACCATTTTGTTCCGTTCCGAATTCGTTTGATAGGTGATGAAAGAAGGGTAGAGACGGGCCTTAACCTAACTTTGTGTTGTTCTAATTTCGGGAGCGAGTAGATAACTGACTGCACTTACTAAAATCTATTATACTCACTAATCAGCACTGTCTAGACAGTACCTTTGAGTAACCTATTGGCTAACTCAGCGTTTCCTGTAAATTTAAAGCTTATTCCATAATCCATTTAGCAAAAAAGTTACCCCATACCTATCTGTCGTTCAAAGCCATTTTTCAAATGATCGTCAAACATTATTTGGCAGTCAAAACATACGAGAAAACAGGAAGTGAAGGAGAAAAAAACAAACATATTTGTTAAAAATTTCAAATTATTCAAATTCTAATGAACTTCCATTTATTTACATTTCCCAGAGCAGGACAAAACGAAAATAGACGTAGATAGCACTATACCAAATAGAAGAACCGTGCTGTTGACCACGGTATTATTTGACAGACCAAAAAGGATACCAAAGTCACGGTGACGACATCATTTTCGTATCCGAAATTGGTTGGTATGCATTTGACAGACCAAACAGGGTACCAAACCATGTACCAAAGCTTGCCGAAATCGCCTTAAGATTATGGGAGAAATGGTTGACATTGTTGACATAAAGACACAACCACACCGCAGTCACACCCAATGAATTATAGCCAAAAACTGGAATGAGCACACATTGCGGTATCTGCCAAAAAAATGAGGCCATGAAAGACAGATGCCACAAAGGGGAATGTTGTTTTTTTCTGTTGCTCGCTGACATATGACGTTTTGGAAAGTTTTGTCATATTTATCTTCACAGGTTTCATCAATTGGAATATTTGGAATACGTGTTGGAAGCAATTTCCGCCATTTAACATAATGAGTGCGACAAAAACAGGTATCCCCTCCGCAGCAGCGGCACTAGGCTTCACGTTCGTCAATATGTGTTCGCATTCCAGTTTTTGATAGTTCATTGGTCACACCAAAAAATTATGGTGTGACCGGTGCGACACCTGGGGCGAGTTCAGAAATAACACACCGGGTGTGAGTGCGATTTTATGGGTGTGACTGAAATGACAATTCTTAGGCGACAACTTTCGTATGAATTTCTGAACGCTTGGTGTGACCAATCGAGCATCTCCTCGACAATTTCACCAAATGCATTAAGATTACTTTTTTTTGTGGTTCATTTTTTTAATTTGAAAAAAAAAACTAATTCTTATTTGTGTTTTGTTTATATTTGGTGGGATTAATGAGATTATGGGAGGAATGGTTGACATTGTTGACATAAAGACACAATCACACCGCAGCCACACCAAAAAATTATGGTGTGACCGGTGCGACACTTTGAGCGCGCCCGAAGTATTTTTTGAACGGAACAGAGTGCGCGCACTCGGTGTGCCTATAGCATTTATGAACGGCTAGTGCGTCGCACCGGTGTCACACTCACACTGAGTGTGTCATTCCTGAACTGAACACACGAAACTTTTGCTAGACTTTTATTTGCCGTGTCAAACAGGAAAAAGCGAAACCAAGTATAGTAAACTTACGAAATATTTCGGCAATAATTTCGTGAATAATTCACAAAGGCCCATCCTCAATCAATCTGGTAGCGAAGTGGCACTTCGGCTTGCATGCTAGGACAATGTTGTTTAACGTTGGCATCCTCAATTCAATTTCGTGCTAGCACGCACGCCGACTCTGAAGTGCAAGCTTGCAAGCTGCAAGCTTTTTCGATGCGTGACAACTTGTGTCAGGCGCAGTACATTACCCGTACGTTCGGTATTTGGATCTGAGTTCTCTGAGCATGAATTTACCGTTCGTTTATTCAAAAAGTGTACTCGGTGCAGGCTTATTCACGTTCGTTTATATTGTAATTTCGTGCCCTCTGAGCTGCTTTGTACGCTCGCTGGTCACGTGATGACGACTCCGCTCTGATCTTTGAATAAAATACCGAACGCAAAACAAATTACCTACCATTACATAAATTGACAGCATTGATAATGGGTATCAATTTTCCAGCACGCGTGCCGAAGTGCCACTTCGCTACCAAATTGATTGAGGATGTAGCTTCACCGATCGGTTAATCAGGTTTGGAAACGGAACCCACCCTAATTTTAATTGTCAATAATGTCAATAGTGAAGGAAATTTGACAGTTTGATGTGATGTGATAAATAAACTCTGATAAATAAAACAAATTGTAAATAGAAAATGCGGATAACAAATTGTTTCAAATTTTGAATGAAATATTTCAGGAAATTCAGTGAAAATAAATAGAAAACATGGCAGTGGATCTTAGCAGGCACAATGCCGCGTTAAAAGATGCTTGGAGGGACGTTTTGAATGATAAAACCGATACAAATTGGTAAGGGTAAGGTTAACAACAGATTACTTTCAATTATTCAAAGTTCTAATAACTCTTATCTGAAAATTAGAATATTTATCTTTAATTCCCTGCTTCTCAATAATTACTTTTTATTTTTCAATGCCAAAAAATCATCTAAGCCAGTAATTTTGGGTGCACATACTAAGGGCCAAATTATGGACCAACTGGAAAGTGTCTGGTTGTTACCTAGCAGGTACTTTTTATTCTCTACTCGATTCTCTAGTGTATAGAAAGTACCTGCTAGGTAACAACCAGACGTTTACCAGTCAGGCCATAATTTGGCCCTTAGTGATGTAAAATTCCCGAAACATTCAGAAACCGCGAACATTCTCGGAAACTTTCGGGAACTTATGGAAATATTATTATTTTTTTAAAAAATTTATAGCTTAATCAGACAAATCTATTTATTTATTTATTTATTTATTCAATCCTTAGTCCATCTGATACATTGGTATATTGGATGTGTCGATTACACTAGTATAAACATTAAAGCTATTACTATAAATATTAAATAAATTTGAATAAAATGTCAGATTTATAAAGATATGCACATTAAGTACATTTGTCGTTACAATAAATTGATTTTTTTTTTTTAATTACACAGTACTACATAGCATTTCACGCAGAGCAACAAATAACAAAATATTCAAAATCACATGAACCAACATTACAATACACAAAATGATATTTAAAAGTTAACATTAAAAAATTGATTGTGGTTGTAAAGAGGATTATCCATAAGCACAGCCTTAATCCTATTCTTAAAACTATTAAAACCTTGGATGTTTCTTACATCTGCAGGAAGATAATTGTATGCTTTTGTAGCCATATAAAGTGGAGATGACTGAAATAATGATGTTTTGTGAATAGGGATTGTTAACTTTTGAGAAAATCTGGTTTTGATTCCCTTGTTAATTTCACTATTGGTTTTAAAATAACTTTGATGTTTTCTAACAAACAACAATACCCTATAAAAGTATAAAGAATACATGGTCATCAGTTCGTATTTTCTAAAGATTGGGACAGCATGTTCATTCCATTTAGCTCTATCCAAGACACGTATCAAGCGCTTCTGGAGTAAAAACAGTCTTTCAATTTTAGATGTTGATCCCCAAATGATGATTCCATAGCTGATGCGACTCATTACATGTGAATGGATGTACAATAAGGTTGTTTTTGCATCTACTTCTTGTTTCAAGTTTTTTACAGCAAAACATGATGTCGCTAGTCTTTTAGCAAGACTTTCTATGTGACTCTCCCAGGTAAGAGATGAGTCAATGTGGACTCCTAGAAATTTGGTACTTTTTTTATTTGGAATGTATTTGTCATTGAGTAGTACTACGGATGGTGGATGGTCATTATTTTGCGATCTTACGTTCTTAAAATCAACAACTACAGACTTTTGAGGGTTTAAGAGGAGACCATTACAAGTGCACCAATCTGATATTTTTGAAGATGTTAGATTTAGACTAGCAACCATATCGAAGTGATTTTCGTGATGTTCGGTTGAGCTTGTATCATCAGCGAACTGATGTAGTTTATGGACCTCATCAAACATGTCAGAAAGACTGTTACAGAAAATAAGAAAGAGCAAGGGAGAAAGGATTCCGCCCTGAGGGACGCCATATTTTATGCTCTGGGTAGCTGATCTAAATTGTTGGTTAACAATCTGACCATCCCCCCCTGATATTTGTACAAACTGCTGCCGATCTGTCATGTAAGAAATAATCCACTCCAGAGCGGGTCCTCTGATCCCATAATTCTCCAGTTTCTCAGCAAGCAAAGGTGTGTTAACTAGATCAAAAGCTTTGGAAAGATCGTAGTATATTCCTGCTGTGTGATGTTTTTGATCTAGGTACCTGTATATTGCATTGATTGATTCAAACAAGGCTGTTTCAGTAGACTTCCCCTTTAGAAACCCATGCTGAGAAGAAGAGAATAAGTTATTTTTTGTGAAGTATGATGTCAACCTAGTGTACATGATTTTTTCAAAAACCTTAGAAAACACTGACAGGTTTGAGACTGGCCGGTAATTACTAACTTCACTTTTTTCTCCTTTCTTGTAAATGGGGATAATTTTAGCGATTTTTAATATTTTTGGAAATTGGCCTTTGAGAAATGACATATTAATAATATTTTCCAAAGGAAAGCACAAAATATCAGCAACATTGCGTATTATATGACACGGAATGTTGTCGGAGCCACTTGAACGCTTTTTGGTAACCTGGAGAAGTACTTGATAAACCTCCTTATATGAGGTTGGTTCAAGAAAGAACGAGGTACTTGTCTTGGATAGGCTCTTGTTCTCAATGTTCTTTGCCAACTCATCACCAATGCCATTTACTGAGGTCAAAAAGTAGTTATTATACATATCACAAAGAGTTTGTGGGTTTGTTACAACAGTGTCATTGAGAATAATTGGTTGCACATCAGAGTAGTTACTAGAGTTTTTCCCGTTCTTTTTGTTTATTATTGACCAGGCAGCTCTACTTAGGTTTGATGATTTTTTTATGAAGTTTGAATTGTAGTCTAGTTTGGTTTTTTCTAATAACTCTTTGTATTTCCGCTTTAACTGAACATATTTGTCTTGTACATTCTTGTTTTTAGTTCTTTGAAACAACCAATGCAAATTTTTAACTTTGTATGACATGTTTTTAATTTCTGTTGTAACCCAGCCCCTTGAGTTCTTTTTTAGTTTAAATAATCTTTCAGGGAATTCCTTATTATAGGCTGACAAAACAATACCATGAAATTTGTTAAATTTTTCATCAACCTCATTGGCATTATACACCTCGGACCAATCCTCCATACTCAGGTTCTCATAAAAGGATTTTTGATTTTCTGTTGAGAATATTCGTTTTATAGTTTTTTTTTGGTGAGTTTTTTGACTCAACAAGTCCTCTATATCGACAGATATCATTAAGTGGTCTGAAAACCCTGTTTTTAAGAGCAAATTATTATTACATTCATAATTTGTAAATATAAAGTCCAATAGAGTGTCCGAGGATGGTCTGGTTGGTTCGAGGCTAGTTGGCTTCAATCCATAACTCAAAAAAGTATCCAGAAGTAAGTTTTTGTTTTTATTATTTTGACTTTCGCTACAATTAATATTGAAGTCGCCCCCAACAAATACAATCTGATATCTCTCTGTCAAACAGTGTAAAACTAAATTAAGTTGGCCAAAAAATAGCTCGGTATCACTGGTGGCTCTATCAGGGGGGTGGTAAATTGATAGAAAAATGGTTTTTTTATTGTTAACTTGTAACTCGCAAGCTGTATACTCAAACACATGCTCTGTAGAAGGTATTTTAAGTGATACCCGTTTAGTTTTCACATTTTTTTGTGCAAAAATTGCAACTCCTCCGCCTCTGCTAGAGCCACGGCAAAACGAACCCACCAGGCAATAGTTATCAATGCTATACTGCTGGATTTCCTCCTCCGATAGCCAAATCGTAGTAAGCTTTATTTACCTATTATTGTAGTGTACTGACTATAGACTATAAACCAAGAAAAACACCTATTTTTTTCTGTAAGATCAGCTAAAAATTAAACTATGTAGTAAAAATACTTTTTTCTCCAAGAAAAACGTCACTTTGTTAACCCCTGTCAAGATGTCAGAAATGTGATTTCTATGCTGCTAGGCAAATCCAGCGGGTTAGCACCTGACGAGGTGGTAGAAATTTAATTTCTATGCTGCTTGGCAACCCCAGCGGCAGCAAAAGTACTTTTAGTGCCGCTTGTACTTTTACTGCTATTCAACCATTCACTTGCCCCCGAGCTTACCCCATTCGTTTGGAGAAAAAATAGCGTGTTGCATACGGAGTAGAAGCACTTTTTTGTACTTCGCAGTATTGCAAGCCTCACTACGTTCGGCTCGCAAACCTACTGCTTCAGCACAAAAAAGTAAAGCTTCTACTCCTAATACAACAATATACTATTTTCTCCAAACGTCACTTTGTCAGCACCTGTCAAGATGTTAGAAATTCAATTTCTATGCTGGTAGGCAAATCCAGCGGGTTAACACCTGACGAGGTGGTAGAAATTTAATTTCTATGCTGCTAGGCAACTGCAGCGGCAGTAGAAGTACTTTTAGTGCCGCTGGAGCGGCAGCAAAAGTACTTTTAGTGCCGCTCGTACTTTTACTGCCGCTCAACCATTCAGTTACCCCCGAGCTTACCCCATTCGTTTGGAGAAAAAATAGCGTATTGCATACGGAGTAGAAGCACTTTTTTGTGCTTCAGCAGTATTGCAAGCCTCACTACGTTCGGCTCACAAACCTACTGCTTCAGCACAAAAAAGTAAAGCTTTTACTCCTAATACAACAATATACTATTTTCTCCAAATGACAGTAAAAGCAGATTTAATGCCTCGGCTTGTTTCTTAGCCTCGGCTATGAAACACCAGCCGCAGCATTAAATCTTGTAGTTTTCTGCCTAGTAAAACAAATAACTAGTATGAACGGTTGAATGAGGCTTCAAAGGAAAAGCTTATTCGATTAACCCAATCTCTCAGCTCTTTATTTTTTATCTTTCTTCAATGAAGAATATTTTAAAAAAAGACAAACTGTAGGCTGTAGGTACATCAGCTGGTGATCGAGTAAATCAGATCAGCGTTTCCGTAAAGACAGTTGGACTCGTCTACGTCAACACATAAAGTGAAATGACGTCACTGAGACCTTGTATTCGCAATAATCTCGCATTTTTATAAAATACTTCTGGAAAGTTCTTGGAAATATTCTCGAAAGTTCTCGGAAATATTTTTTTGAGAGTTTTTGATTGAAAGTTTCCGGGAATATTCTCATTCAGGAGAACGTTTCCATTTTTTATCGGCAAATATTCTCGGAAATTTCCCAATGTTCGCAAATATCCTCATGGGAATATTCTCGACTCACATCACTACACATACTTAATAAGATACATATTGTAATATGCTCTTTTTGGACTTTTCCTTTCACCTGCTAAACTAATATTGTTTCAGGGCTCTTTTTGGCTATGAAGGTCAATCTAATTCCCTAAAATTGGTTGGTAAAGGAGATGGAGGCATAAACGAATTGAAGGAAGACCTGAATTCAGGAAGGATAATGTATGCTTTTGTGAAATTAAATGATCCATCAACTTCTTTGGATAAATGTGTTTTAATTAATTGGCAAGGTAAGGAATCGAACAACATTTTGCTTATTTTCTGATATTGACACAAACCATCCACAAATTATTTATATTTTGTAAACTGCACCATAATTGGGTCTATTCTGTAACTCAAATCGAATTCAATGTCTCCTTATAATGTTTTTGTATTATTTCCATTTTAGCTTTGTAAATAAGGGTCTTAAGGCCTTTTTGTACAATAAAGCATTTTTTGATTTGATTTGATTTGAATCGACAATCGAAAACTTAAATCGATAGCTGTGGACATTTTTCCACAGTTATCGATTCAAGTTTTCGATTGTCCATTCGATTTGAGTTACAGAATAGACCCGAATATCAATCGATCAAAAAAAGCTTTAAGTATTGTACGAAATCGAAAAATGTCTAATTCTCTTCACAGAACTCTCTTTGACAAAGCAGTCCTTATTACTAAATATTTCCGTTAGCTCTGAAAACGGTACTTTGGGTCCGATCGATTTTACGGACAGTGGATTTTTGAAATTATTTTTTTTATCAGGAAGATTACATTTCAAATAGTAGATTCGAGAAATAAAAATTGCGGTAAACGCATTATTCAAGCAGAAAAAAAAAATTCAATTCCCTCAAAAAACGGAATTTTTAGCGACTCTAAACATCAAAAAATGATCAAATTCAAGAAAATATTTGCAACTTTGCCACATTGTAATGGAACATCTTTTTTAAATAGCACCTTATAAAATTTAAATTATTTTTGAGTCTCCTCATGCTCGCTTCGCTTGCCGAATCTCAAAGAGAAGATCCTCGGAAACATAAATCCCCCGATAGATCCACCAAAAACGCGAAAAACTATTTTTAAATAACACCTTCTTGATATTTAAAACATTTTTAAGTCTAAAACTACTCGCTCTGCTCGCCAAATTTCAAAGAGAAGATCCTCAAAAACGTGAATCCATCAAAAACGTGAAAAACCTCTTTTTAAAAGCACCTTCTTGTTTATAGTTATTTACCTAACAAATGCGGAAAGTGATACTTTACCGCACGCGGTAAAGGCACTTTCCGCATGTGTTAGGTACAAAATTTTACCTATGAGCATCTATATCTCCAAAAAAAGGCATTGATAAAATTAATTAATGAATCAGATTAATTAATGAAATAAGATTAAATTTAGAAATGATAAAAATCCATTTTCTGAAAATGAAAGAAATTTTGATTATAAATATCACACACTTTGTAGTCCACTTTACCGCATACTATGCTGTAAAGTTAACTTTACCGCACACTATGCTGTAAAGTTAACTTTACTGCATAGTGTGCGGTAAAGTAATACTTTCCATTTTCAAATACGTGCGGTAAAGTGCACTTTACCGCACGCTCGTAGGTAAAATTGTATTTGAGTCTTCGATTGCTCGCTCCGCGCGTTAGATCTCAAAGAGAAGATCCTTGGAAGCATTAATTCACCAAAAACGGTAAAAACCCTCTTCTTTGTTAATTTCCTAGCCCGCAGCAGTATTTTAATAATTAGTTAGGTTAGTGCACACCTATAAAGGGCAAACAACTGATAAAATATTATGGTTTTATTGAATCTTTACGGAAAAAATTACAAAATTACTGTCCGTAATGTCGACTGTAGCCAGTACTTCTTATAGAGAGTCACATTGAAATAAAATAAATACTCTTACTGTACTGATTAATCCCATCTCGATTAACTATATTGTGAATTAATACTTTAACAGCTTTAAATAAAGAATTCAAATTATTAATTAAACATAATTCATTTAATGGAAAAACAATTATTTTTATTAAATTATTCATATTTATTATATTATAGTTATTTTTGTCACAAGTACCTAAAAACTTCTTTAGGTACGTGTGACAAACACTATTTTTTGTCATACGCTTTTTAGAATTTTTCAGAACCTTAAAATTTGCCAAATTTCCTTGATTTTTGAAATCATAAAGGTGCATCCAGGAAGAAAAAAAATCCTAAAAAGAAGCATTTTACGGACTTGAATAGGTCCGTAAAATAGCTGTTTTTGGTGTGCGTATGACAAAAATAGTATATTGTGTATTTAGGTGGAAAAGTGACACATTCTCGGCCGACGGTATAAGGCGTAGCCGAGGCCGGCAAAAACCGAAGGCTGAGAATGTGTTTTTCCACCGAAATACACATACTATTTTTTCTGCGATCTGTTAAATACCTGTTAAATGTTTGTCTTTTGGTTCCAATTATTCAGCAGTACGAGAATCACTTTCCCGGCCTAGGCTGAAAAAGTGTTTCCTGTATTGTTATTCATTGATTCCTTAGCAACTATTGAAACATAATTAAAATACCAGAATATTGAGTTTTGCGACCTGTCAACCGGTCAAAAATGATGACATTTCTTGTCAATCGCAGAAAAATAATTTTATAGGATGCAAGTATGATGAACTTATTAGTATTCCTGTAGGTAGGTAACAGGTCTTCGAAAAAAAAACCATATCAAAGATGGCTATGAATGCTATGATTTTTTAAATGTGAATGTATATCCTGTTCACAATCCGATGTCCACAGGTGCTGGTAAATTTATCACCTTTCCCTATCAAATAGCATTGAAAGGTTATTTTACCTGTACCTACCTGTGGACATCGGATTGTGAACGGATAATATGTTGAAGACCCGTTACCTAGAAAAACTAATTTCTGATGTTATGTATGTACCAATAATGATAACAATTAACAATACAATTCAACAACCTAAATACAATGAAAATAGGATCCCAGTCTCTGTGCCAGTTATTGCTTTTCATTTCACACCTGTCGCCCATGAACTGTGTGTATAAAAAACAAATCATAATAATTTCAGTGAAAAGAAAAAAAAATACAGTGGGTGTCTGGTATATTTTGCTCTGACTGATCGTCTTCCGATGGCTCAGTTTCTGCAAATATGTGCTAAGTATGCCAAAGAAGTTTTTATCAAATCAGTTCAAAAAATCAAAACATATGCACAGCCACGGTTAAATAATAATTAATTATTTTGGGTGAGAGCCTTGGGGACTAGGGTACCCCAGAGGATGCACAGAAAAGAGAAGAAAGATAGTCATCTATCTTGATTTGTTGTTTTCTGTTAGTAACATAAGATTTCATCCATGAAAGTAAAGGTCCAGAAACTTCATAACTTGAGAGTTTTGAAAGAAGAATGTTGTGGTTCGCCTTATTAAAGTTATTAAATGACAAATTTATAAAGTTTGAGAAGAGAAACAGGTTTGTGTCAAAAGATCTACTGGCTGTAAGACCATGCTGTTGACTGATCACAATCTGAGGAAAAATTTGTGCCTAGTCATCTGCTCGACAAACTGCGTTACTCTAATAATCATGTTAAAATCTACAAAAAACTTTTATATTAGAACTGGGCCCAAAACATTTGACCAAAAGTACATGTTTCATGAAAGATTAAAATAAGCTGTTCCTACGTGAAGAACTGTGACAGCCTAAATTCATTTGAAAGTTACTGTTTCAGATAGGTAAAAGAGAAAATTGCACTATAATAATATTGTACTGTAATTTCTAATGTTATACATGTTAGCGTCAAGCTCAATACTACATTATTATGTCATGTCCAATGTTGTTTCTATTGGAGGAATATTGGTTTTATTTTTTACTCCTAAGATCATTCACAATGTTTCATCTCTCCTCTTAGTTCTTTTCACGTGGCTCCGGTTCAACTAACCGGGTTACAAAACGGTTAGAGAAATGACATACCGTTTTCTAACCCGGTTACAAAGTGACGTGATGGATACCTACCACTCGAATTTGAGCGGTATGTTGCGGTTTGTTATACCGGAGCCACAGGAAAAGGGTTTTTGTTTTTGGATCTGCGTAATCATTTTCTAAAATAATTTTGATTTGCATGTTTTATAGGTTTACGAAAATGGAGCTGTAACTATTGTATGGTTCATAAAAAAAGCATTATCTAAAGCGCTCTTTATAATCATATGTTGTAAATTTTTCTGACTTTTTTAAGTTTTTTATCAGACATACGTTTGTTACTACAATTTATAAATTTAGAATTTATCGCTTCATGATCAGATAGACCTGCATTAACAATATTACATGGAACATCTGTATCAAAATTTGAACAACAAATCAATTATTGATAATATCATACAAACAACAAAAAAAAAAAAATTCAAAAATGAGCATTAAATTTATTAGACAGTAATTTTTCTCTATTTTATATAAAAGGAGTTTTCAGGTGAAGGAGCAAACACAGTTAAAAAAGCCATGTGTGTAAATCATTTGAGAGACATAGAAAAATTCTTCCCAGGAGCGCATCTAACTTACAATGCCCGGAACGAAGACGAAGTAGATGATGATTTGCTGATTGAGAAACTGAGAAAAGTTGGTTCGGAGTATAAATTTAAAATGAAGGTGGAACCCATTGAACCAGCAATGCCAGTTGGTAAGTTATAGATTTATTTATAATTTGATTCTGATTAATTTGTTTAGGTACTAGATATCAAAAAGTGAATGCAGTGAAAGAAATAAACTCGCAAGAACGCGATAAGTTTTGGAAAAAAGAGGAGGAAGAAGAAAAACGAAGATTGGAGCAAGAGAAAAGGAGGAAACAAGAGGATCAATTGAAAATGGAAGTGGAAAGGCAAGAAAGGGAAGGTTCGTTTTCATTTCATTGATCATAATGATGTGTAGTGTGTAATAATTTAAATTTTTTTTAGAGAAAGAAACAAAAAAAAGAGACCAAGAAACTGAGACTCGTAATGAGAAAATTGACCAATTTAAAAAAACTGAACATGATAACTTTAAGCAAGAGACTGAAAAACAAAATGTAGCACCCGAGAAGCCCGTACGTGCTTCAATTTTGAAAAGCAGTGCTCAAAACCACGTACAAGCTCAAGTGGTGTCCAGTGACACTCAAAAGTAAATGGCAGATATGATGTGAAAATATCTTATAATTGATTTGTTTATCGTAGATCGCCAACAGAAGTTGTTAATACTGAACAAGCTGGAAGCGACGATGAGAGTGATCAATATGCCACAATAAAAAGGTAATAATTTTTTAAAATTGAGTATTCTCCAACTTTGATGCAACTTGAAAAGGATTTTGTTTTTTTTTTTGAAGAAAAACCTAAATGAATTTGGAATTTAGTGTGTGCTAGAAAATATCCTGATAGCAATAAATATATTTCTTAGGATTTTTTTTTTTTTGAGAAGCAAAAAGAAGAAAATTGAATGAAGGAAATTTGGATAAAAAAATGTATTCCTATTACAGAGTTTCAGTTGTTAGCCTTCAGAATTTTCAATGGATTTCCATCAAGTATCAGTTAAATCAATCATTCGCATTGAATTATATATTTTCAAAAATTGTTTTGTAGTTTTCCAGAAGCCCCTTTCTATACAAAGGTTTGATAAGTCCAATCTAAAAGTTTCCAGGAAATTTCCAATCAATTCATAAAGTGCATCTTCTTGACAGTGCAACAATTAAGAATCAAGATATTAATATTTCTTTTTCAATTAAGTAATTATTATATGAATTACTATTTTTCAGGTCGCCAAAAGATGTAACGAACACGTCAAAAAATTCCGAAAGTCCTACCTCACAAACGCAACAAGAAAAAACAAACAGTTCCCCGTTCGTAGAACAAACAGTCCAAATGTTGGAACAAGATTTTGTTGACGAGTACATTTACGGGCTTGCCAAGGAAGGATATAAGGCTAGAGCCTTATATGATTATCAAGCTGGTAAGTAAGAATCTTTGAAATATATTTGTGACAAAATATTTAATTTTTAGCTGATGATACAGAAATATCATTTGATCCAGGCGATTTGATAACCAACATAGAAAAAGTCGATGAAGGTTGGTGGCAAGGTCTTGCACCCGATGGTATCACTTATGGCCTTTTCCCCGCCAATTATGTAGAGTTGATGGAGTAATAGGTTTACACTGGAAAAATTAAGCCAAACTTTTAGTGTGTAAATCTCAAATTTAATACTTCCCTTTGATACGTATTTTATCTATAAGCTTTTCTATTTTAGCATTTTCCAAGCTGTGACTATTTAAAATTTTATTTTTATAAATTGAAAATTCTTTTTCGCAAAATATCCCAATGGCCTGTACAACAACAAATAACACAAACGAATTCAATATGTCTTGAATGCGAGTGATTTTTTGGCACAACCTAAAACATATTTGTTAAGTTTTCTATCAAGTTTGTTTTAACAAGAATATCGTTTTTGATTTATTATCAAGGAATCTGACTGGGTCTTGTAACAACAAACGGTATTGCCTAATAATATTGTTCTTTGCTTTTGTTCTACAATATTTTCAAAAGTATTATGTATTTAGATTTTATAGAAAGATATTTAAGTACTGTTACAATTTATATACATATTAGAGAATAACATAAATTATTCAAAAATAATAAAAAATATTGCAATAAAATTTGTATTGTTATTTATTTACCCAAGTAAAGTATTATTATTATTAATTGGGATATAACTAATAGAATAAAATGGTTTAATATTACTTCTTCATAAAGATTGTAGTGTTACCCCATTCAAAATCTCGCCTTGCTTATATCCTGTTCACAATCGAATGTGCAGGTAAATTTATCACCTTTTCCTATCAAATAGCATTGAAAGGTGATTATACCTGTACCTACCTGTGGATATCGGATTGTGAACGGATAATATATCGAGTTTTTCTATATGGGGTTGAAAAAAATTTCAACCATTTCCCGACTGATTTCAGATTTCTGAGGGAAGCTAAGGGTGTATATTCTAGCATAGTATGTTCAGAGATCTAGGATCCATGGAAATTTTCACATCGCCAATCAGATTATTTGCAACGATTGGATTGATCAGTGAACATGGTATTTTTTTTTACTCTCAATCGACCCAAAATCTAGTGCTCTTGAAAGACTTGAGGACTTGAGCTTCCAATTTTCACATACATTTCTCTTAAAAGTCCATTATTCTCGGAGTTCTGTCAAAATTATTCACCTCTAAGGAGTCGGTAGACTTACGCTATCATTATGTTTCTGAAACTAAACTAGTCAATAATAGTTTCGTTCCAAGCACAAATTTCACCAATTTTTGAAACGCGACAACTTTTTAATAAATTAACGGAAAAATATGCCGTTTTCACCATTTTTGGAAGCAATTCCTTGTTAATCATCTGCTTTATACAAAAAAATATAGAATTTGACTAATTTTTTAAACAGGGTTATACAGGGTGACACAAGGAATAGGGAACAGCCTATAACTTTTTTAATTATATAAATTGAAAATTTGAAATTTGGGGAGCTTAAACGAGGCAACTTTTTGAGTTTTTTAGAAGTAAAATGCGTTACCAGTCACTTCCGGTTTAACCGGAAGTGGCCATAACTTCTGATTTTCAAATAGGTCACCCGGTATTTTTAAAGTTTTCTGGCATCAGCAGATCATTTTAGGTATGGTAGGACGATTTTTGGAAAATTTTTAACAAAAAAAAAAAATTGAATTAATTTTTAGAAAAAAAAATTTGGCGCTGTCACTGGTGTAAATTGATTTAGTTGGATATTTTTAAAATCAGGAAAGTCTGTACCTTCAATTTTTTGCTAACTGAACGCCATAATTTCAGATCAAAATTAAACAAAGAGATGTTTTCAAGGTTTTCAAATGTAACCACGCCGGGACCTATCAATTTTTTGAAACTAGATTTTTTTTTTTTTTGATATCAACATTTTTAAAATTCGCTGAAAAATAACCCAACTTTTGAAAAATCCTTATTTTTAAATGCAATTTTTTTTTTTGGTTTTGTTATTGTCATATACATATATGATTATATCGAGTCCCTCCCTGTAGGATAATAACCCGAGGCACAGCCCCCCGAGGTCAATTCGACCAATTAGGCTATACGCACATGCGTGATAGACTGCGCGCTCGCGAACAAAAAGAATTACTTTCGCTCTCTTCTGCAACGGCCTCCAAACTATCAACATACCTTTAAATCTGTGATAAAAATAAAATGTGATATATTTGAAATAAAAGTATGTATTTATTTAACTCTCAATCGAGATATTACAATTGGCGACGAGGTAAATCGAAATCTGCGGGCTGCGGGAAGAAAAGCCCATGATTAATGGAAAAAAATCATTAAATAATCCACGAGGCGACGTGCAAATTAGAAAATGGCGACGAACAATGGCACTACAAACGTAAGCATTCCAAGATTTTATGAATTTAACTGTGATGTAGATGAATGGGAAGTGTATTCCGAGCGACTGCAACAGCATTTTGTGGTCAATCAATTAACAGATGAAAAAATCAAAGTAGCAGTTTTGCTAAGTTCAGTAGGCCAAGAAACTTTCAAGCTCCTCAAGAATCTAACCTATCCGAATGCCCCCGATTCGAAGTCTTTTGAAGATTTGGGCAAACTCCTGAGGACGCAGTACGCCGTGCATAAGAGCATCTGGAGGGAAAGAATCAAATTCTACCAGATTAAACAAGGTAATTTGTCAGTTGTAGATTGGTATGCCAGTGTGAGAGCAGCAGCGACCACATGCGAGTTTGGTAACCAGCTGATGGCCATTTTGAAAGACAAATTCGTCACGGGATTGTCTCCCGGAAAAGTCTTAGACAGATTATGTGAAGAAGACGATTCGAAGGAGCTAGGAGATTTATACTCTCTAGCCCTGAAAACCGAAAACGCCTTCGCCGAAGTTTTTTCCATGTCCAAAAATGGAAAATTTCAGCAAAATTCACATCATTCGCATCTCCAAGGAGGAAGAACCACTGCGCAACCGCAAGCAAGTGGAGGTCATGAAATGACGCAATCAAGGCAATGTGAACAAGGCGCAAGCTCAAGAAATGCTCATGGTCAGTGGAATGGGCAAGTCCGACAGAGACAGCACCAGCCGAACCAACGTCAACATGGCGGCAGCCATCAAAGGCAAAACCAAAACAACAACAGACGATCCACGATATCGGGACAAAATTACCAAGGTAATAGTACAAATTCTTTTATAAAATGTAAATACTGCAATAAATATCAGAGGTTTTTGTAATTTTTGGTGTTCGAAATGTAAAAAAACTGGACACAACATTAAAAGTTGTTTTAAAAATAAACATGTAAACATAATTAACCCTGAAAACGAAATTCAATTTGATAATGTTGAAGAAAACTTGCAAATTTTTGATATGTATTATTCTAATTTGTCCAAGGGTGATTCTAAAAAGGATGTCAGCATAGAAGTTTTGTTAAATGATATAAGAATTAAATTCTTGTGTGATAGTGGCTCTGCTATTTCTGCTATCAATCATAAAACATTTTCAAAATATTTTTCAAACTATGAACTATTTAAAGACCACACCTTGTTTAAAGGCTATAACGGTAGTATTTTTGAGCCAGATGGTTTTTTCACTCCCTATTTAAATTTTAAAAATATTGTTAAACAAAATAAGATGTATGTCGCACGGGGGGAGAAAACATTTTAGGTCGGGACTGGATGACTAATTTCAACGTTAAGATTGATTTTATTAACAATATTTCAGTGGACCAAGAAATCAATAATATTATTTCGAAATTTCCCAAACTTTTTAGTGATACTTTAGGTAAATATGTCCATACAAAGATAACTTTAGAATTAAAGGAAAATTCCAGGCCAGTTTTTTGTAAGAGTAGGCCAATTCCTTAAGCTTTTCAAGACGCTGTAGATGAAGAATTGCGTAAATTGGAAAAAGATGGTGTTTTAACTCAGGTTGAACATAGCAGCTGGGCAACACCAATTGTACCAGTCATAAAAGGGGATCTTAAATCCATTCGTTTATGCGGGGATTATAAGACAACAGTAAACAAATTCTTGAACCTTGTAAGCTATCCTTTACCACACATTGATGAGGTTTTTTCCAAATTTAGCAAAGCCCAATTTTTCTCTAAAATAGACCTTAAATCAGCTTATAATCAAATCGAAGTAGATGAGGAAACGTCAAAAATTTTAGCTTTAACAACACCCCGTGGAATTTTCAAAGTAAATAGAATGCCTTTTAGCATAATACCAGCATCTAGCATTTTTCAAAGAATAATCGAACAAACTTTGCAAGGTCTGGATGGAGTAGTTAGTTTTTTAGACGACATTGTGGTATCAGGATCATCAAAACAAAATCACAATCAGAACCTTGAAAAAGTTTTCGAGAGATTGTAAAATGCAGGTTTCACTTTAAAGAAAGAAAAGTGTAAATTTATTGGAAAGGAAATAATTTATTTAGACTATAAAACTAGTGATCAGGGAATAAAAAAAAATGGAAAGCAAAATAAAAGCAATAGTAGAAGCCGAAAGACCTTCTAACGTGTCAGAAACACGAAGCTTTATTGGTTTAGTAAATTACTATGCCAAATTTGTGCCAAAATTAGCAAATATTTTAAGCCCAATTTATGATCTATTGAAAAAGGGCAAAGTTTATAAATGGTCCCAAGAATGTGAACAAAGTTTCCAGGAAATTAAGAAAGTGATCGCGACAGACATGATTCTGGCACACTTTAACCCTGAATTTCCAATAATTGTAACAACCGACGCCAGCACAAAAGGCCTAAGTGCCATTCTTAGCCACATGATCAAGGGTGAGGAAAAAATAGTGACGTGTGCGTCAAGAACTCTATCACCAGCAGAAAAAAATTATTCAGTTACTTGTTTAGAGGCATGTGCCATAAATTTCGCACTTAACAAATTTTTCCCATATTTAGCATCCCCTAGTAAGCAATTTATAATAAGAACAGATCACAAACCACTTGTTTCTATACTGGGTGAAAACAAAGGAATACCGCAAATGGCAGCAAATAGACTGCAAAGATGGGCAGCTTTTATGTCAATGTTCAATTATAAGATGGAGTATATAAAAGGCAAAAATAATCCAGTAGCAGATTATTTGTCAAGAAAACCAATGAAGTCTCATTTGGACGAAACTATGGATGATTTATATATTAATTTCACAGAAAACTTAGGAACATGGCCCATAAGTAATGAAGACATCAGAAGTGAGACAGGAGAGGACGAAGAATTACAAGAAGTAATAAATTTCATGATAACAGGAAAATGGTCAAAAATGGAAAATGAAGAAGTTAAACAATTTTATAACAGAAAACACGAACTTTCCTATGAAAAAGGTATATTGACCTGGGGTCACAGAATTGTGATACCAAAAAAATTGAGAAAAAAAATTCTTGCTGAGCTTCACTCATCTCATTTCGGAATTTCCAGGACCAAACAACTAGCACGATCTATGGTTTATTGGCCCAGGATAGACAGCGACATCGAAGAAGCAATCAAAACTTGTATTCCTTGTTTAAAAAATCATCAGAATCCTCCAAAAACAAGCTTAACGTCGTGGCCTGTCACCGATTCACCGTTCGACAGAGTCCACATTGATTTTTTTGGACCTTTTCAGGGAAAAATGTACT